AAAGCCAACGAAGCATCAACATGCTTAATCACGGATTTGGGCATAACACATAAAGTAATGAACATGCTCAGCCCAAATCATAAGCCCTGGACATAGATCAGTTGGAACTCACAACAAAATGATCATTCTAAAAGCATAGAACATGATTATAGAACATGATCTTAGTTTCTAAAAATTCCAACAAAGATCAAGCTTAATCAGGAATTCCAATGAACAACAAAAAACAAAGCATCACCCAAAAATTTGTTTCCAACAATACAGACCACTTGAATACTGCAATCAGGATAAGTGTATGGCTATTGAAATAAGTGAAAAAATCAGGGTAAGTGTAGCAAGGGTTTGATGATACCGTCAAACCCGAGCCTTTTCACTGGCTTTGAGATTTGTGAAATAACAAATTAGTAAACAATAACAAAACCTGTGTACATGAGTAATTATCTCAAGCTAGAGGCCATACTAAATGCAATAACAATTTCAAGCTGCTCTGTTTCACCATATTAACAATTTCAAACTGCTCTGTTCCGTTGGTTGCCAAGAGAGATCGCCAAAAATATACGCCAAGATAAAAAACAACACCAAAAGGAAGAGATATAGAAAAAGAAAGAGCGAGAGAGAGAGAGAGTTAACCTGGTCTGGTTCGCTGGTCGCCAAGAGAGATCGACTGGAGTCTGGACAGAGAGAATAAAGGAAAGGAAACGTCTGGACAGAGGGAAAGAGGGAGGCGGCTGGACAGAGGGAAGGAAAAAATGAAGTTAGGGTTTGGGGAAAACAATTAAATGTTTTATATAGTGGTAGGTCAATTCCGGGTCAAAACAGGTCAGCGGGTTTGTGTCAACCCGATTAAATATACGGGTCAATTTGGGTAAATTCGGGTTAAGCAGGTTGAACCCGAACACGACCCATAAAAATTTCGTGTTGACGGGTCGTGTCATATACGGATCGTGTCAAAAAATTAGTCAACCCAAACCCATTTATTCGTATCGTGTTTCGTATCGGGTTATCGTGTCGTGTCAAAAATTATCACCCCTATTTATATATATATATAAGTTAAACCCTAATAATCCAGGAGGATCATTTAGGTTTTGTACCATGCATCAGTTAACATCCTCAGCGTTCCGGTGGAGGACTAGTCATACTGATAGGAATGCCATGGTTGTTTTACCGGCAGGTTGATAATGCACTGATGACATACTTTCAGGCACAGCACCGAAAGTACGTACATCATTGTATCATGCATGAAGCATATAATTATAGATATATAAAGATATAAAACACATAAGTATTTTCAGAATTTAACTAGTATTATACATATATTTACCTCTCACTAGAGGATATACGAAACTACTCACGGCCCATTGCTACAGACAAGCAAGGAGTGCAATCAGTTTTCATTATAACTAAAATTAAAGGCAAAATCTAAAATGTCTTTCACAAGAAACAACTTAAACACAATCACCTTTATTATCAATTAAGAAAAAAAGGTGACAGCAGTTCAACTATCCGAATAGAAAGATACAACAGAAATGTAAAATTTAGACTGAAGTGCTTCACAGACCGGATCATTTTTGCAACTTCTCTTTTTCTCTTTCTCTTTTTCTTTTTCTTTCTCTTTTCCTTTCTTTTTCTCTTTTCTTTTCTCTCTTGGGTTTGGCTGGCTGAAGTCTGAAAGGGATATGGCTATTTATAGTCGTTTGAAGAAGCAAGAGGTGGAAGGCATGAAATAGGATCAAGGGTGACCGTCCGGACGATGGAGCTTGGCTAGAATTTGCAAGTTGCATTATGCTGACTCTTCATTTGATTTAATTACACTTTAGCCTTGGTATTTTCAAGCTTCCCTACTTTGCTCCTTTGTATTCTGTAGTAATTTTGCATTAAATCTGTAATTATAAACATAACACACATAAAATCTTAATTACTGCACAAACCCTAATTGACTTTAATTGTTAGTTTTTAGTTATTTTATCACACTAATTTGAATTTATTATTGTTTTAATTTATATATTGATTAAGGTTAATCAGGTTTTAAGGTATGAACAATGAGGAAGTTGAACCATAAAGCTGTAATTTGGTGTTGTAATTTGTTGTGATAGACTAGTTAATTATATAAACACATAAAATACAAATAATGAAATTAATTATGTTAATTAAGGGTCAGTCGCTTTGGTTAATGGATTTAATTTCTAAGGTTAATTAACTTGATTAATGGGTTACGTTGGCTTTGGTAGGGTAACCAACTGAGAGTGGGTCCAATATAAAGGGTAGATTGATAAATTATATTTATACTAGTTATTGTCTGTACCTGAAGTTACATAGTAATAAAAAATAGTTAACAAAAAATATATTTGTACTCATATCCAAAATTAAATTACAAACATAGAACAAAGATAAATTAATTTAAACATCGTTGTAGTGGGGGTAAGAGGTGGTGGGCGACAGTGGTGGTGGTAGGTGACAGTTATGGTTGTGGTGGATGATAATGACTGTGGTGGTAGTGGTAGCTGTGAGTGGCAATGGTGATAGTAATAGTGACAGCTATGGGTGATAGCGGTGGTGGTGGTGGGTGTGAGTGGGGTGGTGGTGGGCGACGGTGATGGTTGTTGTCAATCATGGTGGTGGGATGACGACAGTAGTGGGTGATAACGGATGATTTTAGGCGACAATATGATGGGGTGGTGGCGAATAACAGTGGTGGGTGTGGGTGCAGTGGGTGGTGGTAGTGGTGGGCGGTGAATGGTGGTGGTGGTAGGTATAGTGGGGGGTGGATGATAGTGTTTGTGACGACGGGTGATGGTTGGAAGCAATATGGTGCTGGTGGGTGGCAACGATAGTTGTGAGATGATGGTGATAGTGATAATAAATATAAGAATGAAATGACAATGGTGGTGAGTGGTGGCGTCGGCAGTAGTGATGGCAGTGTTGATGGTCATGGGGCGGTGAGGTTGATGGTGGGACGACAACGGTGGTGGTAGTTGGGGTGGTGGTGGGGTGGAGATAGTAGTGATGATTATTGTGGTAATGGTGGGGGAGAAACAAATCTTGATCGAACCTATATTTGCTCAATGGATATAATTTGCTCATGGTAAAACTTCATATGGGTTCGACGTACTTTTATCTTCAACGAATGGACCGGCATTCAACGCGGGTCGAAGCATATGGTTGCCCGATTGGTTAAATGCTGTTAATGAGAATAGTAATTCACTACTCTTAACAATAGGCCTTGGAGACTTTTTGGTTCTGCAATGGGGGTGGGGGTGGGACGGTTCCAAACACTACTTTTTTTATTTAAAGTAGTTAAAAAAAATTATAAGTTCTTGAAGCATTTTAAAAAAGTCATCCAAATACATCCTTAGAGTCTTATTTTCCTTATTAAATTTAAAGTATTAATATTAGTCGTCGGATTAATTTAAAAATAAAATTTAAAGAGATCTCAACCGCAAAAAAAAAAAATTATTTTATTTATCTTTTAAAATTTAAATTGTATTGTATTTTATTATCTACACTAGTTATTGCTTGTGTCTGAAGGCACGGATTAATAAAAAATGATAGACAATAAATATATTTGTATTCATATTCAAAATCAAATCACAAATATACAGGAGAGATAAATGAATTTAAACATCGGTTATAGTGGGGTGAGAGGTGGTGGACGACGGTGATGGTGGTAGGAGACGATGATGGTTGTGGTGGGTGACAATGACCGTATTGGCGGCAGTGGTGGTGGGGGTGGCAGCGGCGGCAACAGAGGTAGTAGTGAGACAGTTTCAAACACTATTTTTTTTAAAGTACTTAAAAGAATAATTCGTAGAAATATTTTAAAAAAATCACCATTACCATACAGTTAGGGGCCTATTTTTTCTATTAAATTTAGAATATTAATATTAGTCGTTACATTAATTTTAAAATAAAATTTAAAAACGATTTGTACTACAAAAAATAAAAATAATTTTATTTATTTTTAAAATTTAAATTATAAACTACTTTATTATATAAATGTTCTGATGACGTCAATATCGAGAATTATAAACAGTTACGTGTACATATCTTAGACGAAAGTCAAATACGAAGGCATTTAACTGATTAAGTGATAAAACGTGGGGCGTGGGATGTAATTTACCCTATTTATTTTTACCTTCCCCTGTCTCTCCTCATTTGAATGAATGCCATTTTACTTTACACACTCGCTCCCTTTCCTCATATCCTCGCCCAAGCCAACACGAAGAAGAAGAAGAAAGCCCACGGGAAACTTGCGTCTACTGACTTGCTTCAATTCCAAGCGAATAAAAAAAAAAAAAAGGAAATACCCTAAGCCTCCCGAATTCGTTACTGCACTCAACTCCAAAGAGCATCTGGATCTGCACGTAATCTTCCTAAATAAACCCACTATTGTGTTTTATTTATGGTATAAATTGAAGGGAGATTATGAACCGTACTTGAAAATCATCATTTTCTATTTTAGTTTATCTGTTTCCCACATCGCTACCTGTAATGCATGTATATATGTTCGGGGTTTTATGCGGCCACGAATTTCTATTTTTGATTTCTATTCACCTATAAATATTTTGGTTCCTGTCACATAGATTTGTTTTTGCGTGGGCACAAATTTGATGCTGATTTAGTCTTTTTATATATTGTGGGTAAATAGATATTTGTTTATATATGTGTGTGGATGTTTGTTGTAGGTCTGATTCGAGATCTTAGGCTGATTTGGATAAAATTATGATATATATATATATATGTGTGTGTGTGTGTGTGTGTGTGTGTGTGTGTAATCACGAGTTTGATTGTATAGCGGTTACGTGTTTTTAGGGTGAAGAAGTGTGAAGATCTTATCTGGTATTCAAAGTTGGTGGATTTAACAAATTTGTTGAAGGAATTTGCCATCAAATTTTTAGCTCCATAGTTAGATTTGAGCTTCAGGAATGGAGGATGAAAAGAAGAAGAAGAAAAATAAGAAAAAGAAGAACAAGCCGACAAAAACAGCAGACAGTGTTATTGTGAGTGTCATAGAATCGACCTCTGTTGATGAGTATCATGCCGCCGAGAATGGGCAGAGTAGTTTTGGCCAAGTTTCTGAGGCTGCAGATTTTCAGAATGATGTTGTGAGAAAACCAGTCGTGGATCTGGATGCACATCATGCCAATGACACTAAGGACGTAAGTTTCTTATTAAATCAAAATGAAGTATTGCTCCGAAATCAAAGTAAGTTGGCAGTGTAATGCATGCGTGTAGAACTACTCAATTGGTTGGAAATGTATTTCTGTAGGGAAGATTTCAGCAAGTAGTGAATAGCGTGTCTTTTGTTTTTTGAATTAGGAACTATTCCATCTGCAGTCAAGTTTGAGATTGAGTGACTTATGAAATTTGCTGATATTATTTTTTATCAGAGATTTTTTTGAACCCTTTAAAGTTGGCTTGTGTAAACCCATTTGCATTTATACTTGTTCTGGCTGAAAACTTCGCATGGTTTTTCAGTTAATTAATTTGTTCAACATGTATTTATTTTTAATAAAGAGAGTAAGGTGATTTGTGCCATCATTTTCTGAACATTTTTTTGCTGCTCAAATTCTTTGGGTTCTCTTTATTCCATTTCTTAATGTTCTTGTGCTAACTTCAATTTTGTTTTATAGTCAATTTTTCCTGAGGAGAAACAATGCTTGCTGGCGAGAGAGGTGTGGATAGAGTCTCAAATTTGCATGACTATTTAATTTCATCATTCTGAAGTAATTAGTGATTTTTTGCCTTTTTGGGCTTATACAGGCTAGCCTAGCTGAGAAAATTAAAGAATTACAAAAGGAAAAGGAATCCCAAGTACTGAAAGAGGTAATATGCACTTCAATTAATGTGCTACCAGACTGCTATTGCAATAACAACTTGGTAATTGTGCTTAATTTATTTCTCATATGCAATTTTAGCTTTCTTCCATTAGTAAATAAGTTGATGTAAAACTTTCTGAAAAAAAATAAATTCCTGTAAAGCTATCTTGGAAGAGAACATTAAACAACTACAAAACAAAAAAGATGCACAAATACTAAAAGAGGTGATTGAAATGAAACTTAAAGGGGACATAGATTGGCACTGTGATAAATTACTTTTTCATGTGCAAAATTGTTTGTTCTATTTATATTTTTCAAAAGCAGTTGGTAACTCTCTGGGCTTCTACAGGCTATCCTCGAAGATAAAATTAAACAATTAGAAAAAGAAAAAGATGCTCGAATGCAAAAAGAGGTAATGAAAACTTTATCTTAAGAAGGAACTGATTGATTTTGCGTCATAGAACTCTGTGGATATGCCTAATTTATGCCTCATGCACACTTTTATTTTCTTTTTCCCTTAACTTTTTGCAACTCAGTTGATTGCATTTATGTGCTTTTACAGGCTATCCTAGAAGAGAAAATTGAACAATTACAACAGGAAAAAGCAGCACACTTACAAAAAGAGGTAATATAAGCTGGATTTGATGGAGGAATAGATCGGTATTGTGATATAGAATTTTGTGTTTCTGCAATTTTTTTGTTTAAGAAGACAACAAAAAGAAGCAACGAGTGACCAAGTGGGCTTTTGCAGGCTAGCCTAGAAGAGAAACTTGAAAAACTACAAAAGAGAGAGGATGCACACATTTAAAAAGATGTAATGAAACTTAATTTAATGGGAGGAAGTTTGATGTTGTAGTATTGGAGTTTATAATAGGCTTAATTTATATTTTTTATTCAATTTGCGGGCTTGTCTCGAGATGACAATTTCACGATTGCAAAGTGAAAAAGATTGCTGGCTTCAAAAACAGGTGATGTTAGAGGAATGATTGGGGCTATATGGAAGTTGAAAGACACTAAAACTCAGAGAGCTGTTTAACTTTGACATTTGTTTTCCCAGAATTTCATAAATAACACCATTTACTTTTTGGCCACATGAAATTTGGGGAAGATCTGTTGATGTCTATTAATTGCTTTAATCTAATGTCTTGATATTTTCAGGATGAATTTGAGGAGAAAATTAGTCAGTTAGTTGATGAAACAGCCACTCTGAGTTTGAAACGGGTAATTGGTTTTGAACTATAAAGTTGCCACATACTTTTAATTTCCTCACTTGGGAATTAGTTTTTGTCCCTTATTGTTTTTGTATCTTATGGAGTTTCTTTGTTTATTATTGGTCATTTGGTATTCTGTCTAGTCACTTGCAGGAGAATTTGATTTGCTTCAGTAACTTAACTTCTACTCTGTATATCAGGTGAGCTTAGAAGAAAAAGTTAAACAGATGGACAAAGATAGAGATTACTGGGTCCAAAAGGAGGTAAATGCTTCTCCGTGCCATGATGCATAAAGTTTTTTCCATTTGTAGTTGTTACCAATTGAAAGATATTTGCAAATTTGTAGACATATTTGTCTTCACCCTTCAAACACAAAAGGAAAAGAAAGGGAAGAAACTAGTAGGGATAGTTGCCTTTCCCCTCCCTTCTTTTTAGGTTCTACCACTGTAGTGTAATGCAAGATGAATTAAATGGAGGAATGCATCCGGTATATTATCTGATACACGTATACCACTTAAGTTAAAAGGAAAGTTCTATAGAACATCCATAAGGCCCGCTATGCTTTGTGGTACTGAATGTTGGGCAACTAACAAATATGTTCAAAAATTAATTGTGTCAACAATGAGAATGTTTAGTTGTATGTTGTGGTAAAACTAGGAAAGATAAAATTAGGAATAAATATATCCATAAAAAATAGATGTCGCAAATATAAAATATAAGTTAAGGGTGAATTGACTTAGGTGGTTTGAATATATTTATAGACGGCATACTATAGCACCTGTGTTAAAGAGTGATATGATAGTTATTGGCAATAAACATAGGAGAAGAGAAAGACCAAATTAACTTAAATGAAATAAAAAAAAAAGAAAGATAACTTATGGTTTAACTCTATAAAGCACGGACACTCTCAAGAAGTTGATGTATATGTTATGGGTGAATTTTAAACTTATTAATCACATCACATGTCACTATTATGGTTTGAACTTATGTGTTTATTCTCTCATATGTCATATGGTTATTCTAAACCGTTTCTACTATTAAACAATAAACATATGTTGACATGTGATTAATAAGTTTAAAATTTTGATTCTTAATTGTCTTATACTATAAGAGAACATACAATTACCAAGATTAGACATGTTAAAATTGTACTAAAAATATAATAACAAAAGTAAAAGATACATAAAAGATTTAGAAAACAACAATTGAGATGAGAGCAATCATTTAAATTATATATGTATAGTACACGTCTACAAAAGTAAATTGATAATTATTTATTATTATGATGTTAGTCTAAATATTCACACCAAATGACTAGAGACAACATTTATTTATCATAAAATACTGATTTTTTTTATGAACAATATATCATTACCACTATATTTGTGATAAATTATATATATAAAACACAATTATCTGTAATGTGTCCACAACATGTCCATATTCTAATTTTTTTAGAAATGTTGTGTTCGTGTTGTATCGTATCGTGTCCCGTGTCCGTGTTTTTTAGGTTTAACTAAAAACATGACCTTTAATAGAGCTTCATGGCATGACAGGGTCTACAAAATATTGGGATAAGACTTTGTTGAGTTAAGTTGACCTTTCGCCATTTTGCAAATAATCAAATTTGTATGGCTTTTATATTTTGGTTCTTTTTAGATATTGAAAGGACCATGTTTTCTAGATCAGACTATTCAAAAAATAACTTTTGTTTATGAAATCAAAAGATGATCCTGTCCTCCTTTTTTCAGTTCCAAATGTTATGTCTTATTTCTGCCAATAAGAATTAAATCCATATCTGCGACTTGCACCGTTTCTATTTGATAAATTGACTTATTTTTTTTTTTAAAGAAAAGGAAAAGAACTTTGGCTTTATTATATGTGTGTTTCTTTGGCACTGTTTTGAACTTTTTATGATCTTATCTCCTTTTTTGTTCTTACATGACCTCTAGACTGTTAAGTGCTCCTGATATCTCAAAATGATAACCACCTATTTAGCATGGCAATTTTGTTGGTGCAGGTTTTTGCTGAAATCTTTGACTAATTTGCTTTTCTCTCAGACCCCCTCCTTTTAAATTATAGTTGTTATAGTGTGGATGAACATTAATGAGTAGGAGTTATCAGCTGAAGTTTTTCCCTCTTTATTTTGTTTTAATGACGATAAAGAATTCAAGAAAGGTACTCGTTGATCTGATTTTCAATCCCTCTTCCTTGACAGAACTCAACCAAAGAGACAATTGCCATCTTGGATGGTGAGAAGACAAAACTACAGGCACAGGTAATATTAAGTATAATAATTGAATTATTAGTTGATTCACCAATGGGCTTGTAGTTATAGCAGATCAAGCCATATCTGATGGCTACAGGATGTTTTGATTCCGCACTAGGCACCCATTAGGTGCCATAAAATATTATTCCTTTGGTAAAAAAATAACTTCTATTTTCATCCATGCTGGCTTGTTGAATTTGTGTTATACATTTTTGTCATTCCCCATATCTGAAAACATATCCATTCCATTGTTGAATAATAATCCTGAGATAATTTGAATAGTATTCCATGTAGAAGAGTATTTAGGTGCCTCCGCTGCACATGGAAGAGGATTCAAATAACCAATAAAGTTCTTTTGCTTTGAAGTTTCATGGTTTGAAAACAGTTCCAATCTCAGGATGCATTTTTAAGACCTTCTTTTCACATTAGCCTTAAGTTCTGCATGTAGAAGCCATTGGATAAGTTGGGTTTGAGAAGTGGTGTCGTCATTTCACTTTACTTTGAAGTTTCATGGTTTGAAACAGTTCCAATCTCAAGATGCATTTTTAAGACCTTCTTTTCACATTAGCCTTAAGTTCTGCATGTAGAAGCCATTGGATAAGTTGGGTTTGAGAAGTGGTGTCGTCATTTCACTTTACCTTATTTGTTTTAAAGTTTCTCTTTTCCCTCTTCGTAAGCGCATTATCCTTCCCAATCAAAAAGGCACAGATCCATTGCTATTTTTTGTCCAAATACAAATATCTTCTATACTTGTTTTTGAGCAGCAGAACATCATAGTTCCATGCACATCGACCCTTGTTCACAGCCTATTCACAACTCATCTATACTTGTTCTGATATGGATATTAAAATAAAAGCCTGACAGGTGAGGGAGTTGGAAGAATCCAGGAACAGCCTTTTACAAGATAACCAGCAGCTGATAGAAACCATATCTGGTCTGCATTCAAAGATTCAAAGCCTTGAGAGTACTGCTTCTCTTCATTCCTCAATTAAGAACACAATGGTTTGTTTCCCATATTCTCTCTTCCAGTTCCACTGCACTTGATGGATCTGCTCACAGAATATGTTGTTATTTATTATGCATAACTGGGTTTTGGTGTATCTTTTGTTCAAAATCCCAAATTATGAATTTTGTGTCTGGCCCATTTTGTGGAGGTGTTGTGCCATAGATGGCTTTTTGGAGTTTTTATACATGCTTTTACGGATCCAATTTTCTCTCTGTTGTATCTTCTTGAGAAAGTATGACTAGGTTTGGATGGGTAGTACATTGTGTGTGCGGACTGCACTGGGTAGGATACTCCTTGATGGCCGCATGAATCAACATATTTGGCATTATCATCATATAATAGTTAGTGGGCAGGAGAAACCCACACATTTCCCATGCAACATATGTTGTTGAAAGCATCCTCCTTAAAAAAACCTTTCCCTAAGTTAGAATATGAAGTTTTAGGATTAGAGTTTGACGAAAGAAGAGAAGAAGAGACAAACGGCTGTGAAAATGTAGTATCTTAGGTTACACAACTACAAGAATACCCTCGAGCTAAAAATAAAGCATAACTAACAATAACTAACACTCCCCTTCAAGTTGGTGCATAGATATCTTTCATGCCTAACATGCAAATAATAGGAGGAAAAAATTTGTTACCAAGTCCCTTGGTGAAAACATCGACCAATTGGTTATTTGATTTCACAAAAAGCATGCAAATTAAATCTTTGTTCAGCTTTTCTTTGATAAAATGTTGGTCAATTTCAACATGTTTGGTTCTATCATGTTGAATTGGATTATGAACAATATTGATAGTAGCGTTATTATCATAGTAAAGTCTCATAGGCCCATCATCATGAATTCTTAGCTCTCCCAGTACGGTTTTAAGCTACATAAGCTCACCAATTCTATGAGCCATTACTCTATATTTAGCCTCAGCAGTAGCCCTAACTACCACTGCTTATTTTTTGTTTTGCCAAGTGATAAGGTTTCATCCTATCAAATTGCAATAGCCCAAAGTAGATTGCCTGTTATCGACAGAAACTGCCTGGTTTGCATCAGTGAATATTTCTAACTTCAAGTAACCATATTTGGAGAGTAAAATCCTTTTTGTTAGAGCTGATATCAAATGGTCAAAATATGATAAACAACTTCAAGACGAGAAGTTTGAAGATCATGCATGAACTGACTGAGAGGATAACCAACTCCACTATTCAATTGATGATTGACTTTAATGAGAGGATCTGTAGGTCTATATCCCAACATGTCTGTTCTTTCAGGAAGGTCAAGATCATACTTTCTCTGAGATAAAAAATGTATTTATCTGATCTAACAACCTCAATCCCAAAAAAGTATCTTAATGAATCCAATTTTTTGATTTGAAACTCCTTAGCCAACTGAGATTTAAGTTTGGTGGTTGCTTGTACATCATTCCTAGTTATTACAATGTCATCCACAAACACAATCATAACATTTATCTTATCATCAACCTGTGTAATGAACATAGTATGATCAGCATGACTTTGTTATATCTAAATTCAAGCATAGCTTTGAGAAACCTATCAAATCATGCTCTATGAGACTACTTTAGCCCATGAAGAGACTTCTTCAACTTACATATATTTTCTTCGGTTAACTAGGATGAAAAACTTGGTGCAATTTCCATATACACCTCTTTTTCCAAGTCTACATGAAGAAAACCATTCTTCATGTCCAACTGCTAGGGACTTTAACCCAGATTAGTTGCACATGAAAGAAGAACACGTATGGAGATCATCATTGCCATACGGACTAAAGTCTTCTGATAATCAATACTATAGGTCTGAGTGAAACCCTTAGCAACCAACCTGCATTGTACCTCTTGACTGTCCCATCGGCTTGATGTTTAACAGTGAATACCCATTTGCACCCTACTGGTCTTGCTCCATTAGGAAGAGGAATTAGCTCCTATGTATCATCCTTTCTCAAGCCTTTCATTTTTTATACCATAGTTTATCTCACTTAGGAAGGATCAGTGAGAGCTTTTTTCTAACCCTGAGGTATAGATGCAAAAGATTAAAAGAAAACAAAAGTACGATAGGATAGGGATAAAGAATCATAAGATACAAAGTTAGAGATGGGGGGTTGAGTGCAAATTTTAACACCTTTTTTGACTGCAATAAGAAGTTCAGAATCATCAAGAACAAGATATCAACAAAGTAACATCTGAAAGTTCATTACCTGATAAATTAATAGAAAATGTTTGAACAGGAGTTAGGGAATTCAGTTGACTTGGTGGCACATGGGTATTTTGTCCTTGTACCTTTTGACACTGAGAATAAGTCTTTAGGTTATCCTTCTCAAAGCGAGTACTAGATGGACTAGTATTACCTCTATTTTCCTCAATAAGTTGTCGCTCTCCCTTACTAATATTCTATTGAACAGACAATTGAAGAGGTTCCCGACATACCATCTCTTCCCTAGTGGCATTATTATCTCCTTGATGGTTGAATACTAGGAAAAAATACCTCAGTTTAACGGAAGGTAACATCTATGCTAACAGACACCTTTTGAGTATGGGGATGATAACATTTATATCTTTTTTGGGTAGGAGAGTAACCAACAAAAACACACTGTTGGGCCTTCTCTAAGAATTTCTATATACATGTATCATGTATGTATATATATAAGATGACGTTCTAACGGCGCTCTCAAATTTGTTTTTTTTGAATTTTTTAGCTTTTGCACTCCTGCTCCCAATCTATGTGATCTAGGGCACATCTGATTGTCAAAGGCTATACTCAGACATATGGTGTGAATTACGATGAGACTTCTTTTCTAATTGGTCATCTTAATTCTGTTAAGTTCTTATTTTTGTTGCGGTTAGTTGCGATTGACCTTTATATCAACGGGATATAAATAATGTTTTGCTATATGGAGATTTACAATCACTATATGGCTTGAAACAATCACCATGTGTTTGGTTTGATAAATTTAGTACAATGGTACTTCAATTTGGTTTTCAATGTTCTACTTGAGATTATTCAGTTTTTGTTCGTCGGTCTTCTGTAGGTGTTATCATTGTTATTTTGTGTGTTGTTGATAGTGGTAATGACTCTGATAATATTGTTCACTTCAAGGTCTATTTAGGGAGTTAGTTTCATACTAAAAATTTGAGTCTTCTTTAGAAATTCCTAAGGATTGTGGTTACCCGGTCAAATGAGGGTATTAGTTTATGTTGATGGAAATATGTATTGGACTTATTATCTGAAATTGGTATTTTTGGTGCGTGTCTGGTTGATATTCCCATAGACTCTACAGTGCAGTTAAATGTAGATAATGGAGAAGTTTTTGATGATATAGGGCATTGTCGGAGGTTAGTTGGTAAGCTAATTTAGCTGACAATGTCACGTCCTAATATTACATATGATGTTGGTGTGGTTAGTCAATTCATTCATGCTCCTCGTAAGCTTTATTGGGAGGTTTTGTGTTGCATATTTCGATATCTGAAAAGAACTCTAGGGAAAAACTTATTATATCGTCCATCATCACCCATTATTGTTATTGGTTTTTTTTTTATGTTGATTGGGCAGGTGGTCACGGTGATAGACGATCTACTTCTAATTATTGTACATTTATTGGTGATAATCTTGCTACTTGGCTTAGTAAAAAACATAATATGGTTGCATGTTCAAGTGTTGAACCTAAATATCGAGTTATGACTCAAACTGCATGTGAGATGTTGTGAGTTCGCTCTTTACTTCATGATATGGGAATTAATGTGCCTTTCCCCATGAAGATGCATTGCGACAATCAAACAACTATTTTTATTGCAAGTAATATGGTATTTTATGAGCATATCAAACACATTGAGATGAATTATTATTTTATTCTAGATCTCTTGATGCTTAAGGAAATTATACTCTATATATTCAGAATGGTGAACAGCTGGGTCACATTCTTACCAACCCATTACCTCGATATGCCTTTAGTAATTTATATTACAAGTTAGACATTTTTTGTCTTTATGTTCCAGCTTGAGGATAAATGTTAGAGCATGGTTACCATAATTCACTCAATCCTTAACGACCCACGATTTGTGTACATTGATCCCAAAAGAGGTGAGTTTGCGATCTAAATTACCAAAATGGACGACCTCAAATTGTAATACTAACTCTAAATCAATTTGTTTTAGAACATGTATAAATATAAAATACATATTAATTGACTACGTGCATATAGATTTATAATTATATATTATTTTTGATAATAGAAAATTAAGTACAACTATAAGATAAATGGTAATTAACTTAGTGTTTATGAATGTTATGTAATATATAATATTGTATAGTAGTAAAAACGATCTACATAAGAGTTCACAAATGAATTGCGACCCAAATACCGTACCAGCTAAACCTACTCCCATCGTACCGCGAATCTAAGAAAGTGTCTTACCATGTATCCATACCACGTACCAAAGCGACCCATAATCCAAGTAACATTGTGTTAGAGTTCTTATTTTTTGAATTGGTCATATTTAGTGAGCATAAGGTAATATTGTGATTACCCTCACTATTTCTTTGCTATAAATAAGAAGTGTAGGACAGCATAGCTATACACACATTTCACTCCAAATCTTGTTTTTCTCTCTTCTTCTCTTCTACTCTCTCTAAACCGTAATTTTGATTTTACATTTTATGTATATCCTCGGCTTTATAAGCTTTCATGATATCATCATGCTCATATTGCGTCATTGGTTAGGTTTTTTTCTAATCCAACATCATGGCTTTGGTTTTCGTAGGAGTCTTAATGATAGGGAAACTTCGGAATTGGTCTCATTCTTTCTTTACTTGGTAATGTAAATTTACATCATGATTGACAAAAGAAGTTGGATCATTGATTCAACGAGCTCTTTTTCTTGCAAACCTTACTTTGATTCTTTGGTTGATGAAATCAGTCTCCCTCCCAATTTTTTATCCATCTTTGAAGATTTGGAAGAGTAAGGTGCCTTCAAAAATACAAGTTTGTGCATGGGTCCTTGCTCATGTGAAGATTAACACTAATGACTTGCTTCAAAAAAGAGGACCTCAGACTTGACTCCACCCTCAATGGTGTGTTATGTGCAAGAAGGATTGCGAAAATGTGAACCATTTGTTTTTGCATTGTCCAATTGCATTAGATTTATGGAATAAGTTGTTTGAAATGGGGGGACATTCTTGGGGGGTTCCAAATTCAATTTCAACAATGTTGTGTGTGAATTATAAAGGATTTGGAAGGAAAAGTAAAGGAAGCACTCTTTGGGAAGGTTTGCAATTATTTGGGTGATTTGGTTGGAGAGAAATTTAAAAATATTTAAGGACAAGTATGAAGTGTTTGATGGATTTTGGGACCGAATTCACTTTTTAGCAATTTTTTGGGCTTCGGTTTCAAATGAGTTTGCAAATATCCCTCTTTTTGAAATTTTGCCGAATTGGAAGGCGGCTTGTGATTGATTAGTTGGCTTATCATGTTTTTTTTCCCAATGTAATGTTTTTTGATGGATTGCATCTTGGATGGATGACTTGTCCATCCATGAGTTTCATTTGTATGATATCTTTATACTTTTAATAAAATTGTGTTTCCTATAAATATAATATTAATTTTTTGTGTAATGTAACATGGATGTGGCTTTACAACTCAGGTAGTCAAAACTTGTAAGTGTACAAATTTTCAAAAGAAGGGAATTTTTCATCCAAATATGGATAACACAATAAAATTTGAGGGCAAAAAATTCATTGAGAATGGACTTAGTCTGCTGCATTTATCCTTCTCTTATCCTATGTGTGATATCTTCTGTTGTTTCCACCCCTTGATGTAGCACGCTTCTGAAAATGGGGACATGGAGACTCAGATGGAAATTGCACCAGTTGAGAAATTGACTACCGAAAATGCAGAACTTGATGAGAAGGTAATAACCCATGTCCAGATGCAATGGGCATTTTAAAGATCCATTGACCCTGACCTTTGTTATATATCTTGAAAATGCTCTCCAATTTGATTGTCTCGAGTTGATGAAATTCATCTGTATGCTTGTGCCGAAAGTTTTATGTTCTTATGGGGTTTTTTTTATGGTCTCGCCATTTTGTTTCAGGTGAATGAATTGTATGTTGAACTTGACCAAAGGATTGCTACAACCGAGCTGCCTTCATCAGTTGGAGCCGGTGCAGTGGTTGGAGGAACTGACCTATCTGCTTATGTCACTGAAAGTTCTGCTATTGGATCTGATCCAATGGTTGGAACTGCTGCAAGGCATGAAACTGCCCCTGCTGCAGATCCCATGCTTGAAGTCGGTGAGAGGATGCCTGTATCAGGTGAGACTATGGAGTCCGTGCAAGATGTATTCATTAAAGATGAGAGAAATGGTAGTGATTCCATGAATGCCGATTATACTTCTGTGGTTCCAAACCCTTCAGAAACCATCGAGTCAGAAGAAATTGTGCAAATTCCATTGGATGAGAGCGAAGTGCAGGATACAGATTCAGAGGCTGCTCATAATGAAGAGGAAGCTGATGTGCCACTCTTAGATGCTCCATTGATTGGTGCTCCATTTCGATTAATATCTTTTTTTGCAAGATATGTTAGTGGTGCTGATTTGGTCGATAATAAGAGCTTTGTAAATTCGGGGCGATAGCTTCCTTCATTAGTCCGGTTATACATTATTGGGTCAAATGACCCCCTTATTTAGATATGAGCCACAGAGCCAGAAAGGATAAACTAGTCGGTATACCATTTTTTCTTGGATAGTTTGATGCAGTTCAGTTGTTCCAATGCAAACCCAGGTACGATTACCGTAGACTATATTAATAATAGATTGTCGGGGCATGGGCATTAGTGGATGTACGAGGAAAGGAGATAACACACACGCGTGCGCATACATATATAGAACAAAACTTAACAAAATCTTGAAAATAAATTCAGAAAGAATAACCACTAAACAGGGGTTACAGCGAGCCAAAAGGTTCAGGCAGGGATTCAAATCCTATTGTCAAAGATGGGTCCTTGATCAGACTCATCGTCAACACTGTGCAGCCAATTGGTGTTCTTCAAGTCGTCTTTGAGCAGAATTGCATCATACGGGCACCTCTCATAGATGTCCACACCAGGCAGTTTTGCCAAAAATTGACACTTGCCTCCTTTAGGGATCACATTTGGTTCATTCTCCCCCTAAAATAGATGTCCACACCAGTCAGTTTTGCCAAAAATTGACACTTGCCTATCACCCTTGGTCCATTTCTCCCCCTAAAATTTCTTCCTGGGAAAAAGTTTAGAAAGACCTCCACAGGTTCTTCATTAAACATCATATCAAAGTATTAACTTCATGATTGTCATCAACTGGCGTCATTTTTACAATTTCGTTAGTTTCAAATATAATCTCGTCTTATTCCTCATTCGTACTATTTTTCTTGATCCAATTTAATAATGTTGTCTTATCGGGCATGCCAAAAGTTTATTACAGCCTTGGCAAGCATGGTTTTACCAGTCTGGTGGACCATAAAGCAACACGCCACGTGGAGGATTTATGCCAATCTGCTTGTACAGTTCATGATTTGTCAGAGGTAATTCAACAGCTTCACGAATTTCCTGCTCCAATATCCTGTGTGCGTGAGAGAGAGTGAGAAGTTGGATGAAAATCTAAGACAAGTAGGGCAGCAAGTAACAATGTAGACAATCTAAAAAGAAAAATGTCTCTAATAATAACAGAGGCGCGTTAACCATAAAAAGAAAAATGTCTCTAATAATAACAGAGGCGCGTTAACCATGAATATAGAATGCTGCAGCCTAGAGAAAGCCCTCATCAAACATGCGATGGCAACAACAGTTTCAAACTTCTCCACAAAACTAGATGATAATACTTCCCCATTTCACCCCATTAATTTAATGTTTACACAAGTAGAGGCCAACCATTTTTTTCTAACCAACTAAATCTATGCGCATTTTTTTTTTTTTTGGCAATCACTTGGTTTTTCTAAATCATTCAACTTGAATATGGGAAGAGAGAACTCATACAGGGCAATTTAGTTCGCGGACTACTCTTGCTACTGAAAGATTGTTTCTGCAACTCGAATTATTTATACTCAGTTCACAATTGAAAGAAAAAACTCATTAAATATCTTATTCATAAATTATTACATTAGATGAATTTTGGAGGTAAGAATAAGCCTGATAAGTTTTGTCACAACAAGCTAACATTAATCCATTTGATAGTTTTAAATTTAAACCATAACACCATCATAAGTCATAAAACATATTCAATCGAGACCTTACTATTTATTGTTTTGTACTTAAATCTAGGAATATGACCAATGTGATACGTTTAATCTCTATGATCCTAATTAGGTTGAGACTAATGTTATTTAAGGTGTAAAACAAATCGAAGCGAACAAGTCTCTTGACACCTAGGTGAGAAGCAAGAGGCGATGTGAAACGCTTCATCGAAGCAAAGATAATAGTAAAAAAAAAAAAGTAAATATTTTAGTTTAATTACTTCTAATTGTCCAAGTTGTTTCATTTGATACAAACTTTGAATCAGCATAAACATAGAAGAAGAATCACAGTCAAAATAAAACAGAAGCATAGAAACACAAACACAGTATCCCATCTAAAGTAAAACAGAAGCAGAATCAAAAGTAAAGAAGAAGAGGCAGAATTAGAAGCAAAAGTAGCTATGAAGAATTTGAAACAAAAACAATAGCAAAATAGGAGAAATAGAGAAGAAGAAGCAGAATTAGAAACAGATAAAATTAACCAAAAGCAAAATCAATGACGAAAGAGGAGAAGGAGAGAATAGACAGACCCCTAAAACTTGTAGACATATAACACTTAAATCTCTCAAGTTTAAAATATTATATTTACACCTTTTATTAGTTACGAAACTAATAGGACCTATGAAACGACCAAATTATCTTAATTAAAAATAGAAGATATTGTGTTCATTATAACTTGACCTCTTATTTGATTTTTGTTAGTTTTATTATAATAGACAATATAATTGTATGCAAATGACTGATGAATCGAGTTCTTTGATATATTTATACTGATTATTATTTTTTCTTCCAAAAATTGATATTTTGTTTAGGTTTTATGTAAGTGGATGATATAATGGAACATGCAAATGTGTTGATTAGACTTATTTCATATATTCGTACTTAATTATGAAAAAATTCACTCATAGTAAAAAATCCATTTAGTCAAAGATGCTCAAAATATGTCACTTCTTAACTTCTAAATACAATTTATACCTTTGAGTCATTTATTAAGTTAAGTATTTGAGACTCGATCTTCAGAACTCCACTCCGGTCTTCAACTTCTTTTTGATGTGGTCAAAGTCGAATAAACTAATGTGGAGGTTATCTAAATTTTGACATTAACCATACTACTTATGATTTTTTTTTAAAAAAATTTGAATTTTTATTTTTAATTTTATTTCAATAAATGACATCATAGAACATGCATTTTAGTTATAAAATTTAAAATATTTGATATTCTATATATAATTGAAGTATTTTTGATTTAATTATAATATTTTAAATTTAAAGAGTTTAAATATTATATATTTCAAATTTTAGGGGTTTTGATGTAATTTATTAATAGATATTATAGCGGATCTTAACGACAAAAGTCTGTAGGTTATGCGCGTACAAATTTAAGAAGTTTCTATGTAATATTTTAAATGTTAGGAGTCTAGATAATTAAGTAATAAACTTGACGAGATTTTGATGTGATTTTTTTTAAAAATTATCAGTAATGCTACACTGATCAAATTTTAGAACCAAATCAAGAGCCCAAATGACATGACACCTGACTTGTACTTCAAAAATTATTAGTAATTAAATTTTAAAATAAAAGAAGACTTGTAAAGAGAAAGATAAGATTTAATGAATATTTTGAAGAAAAATTAATAGTTATTAGTAATTTTTGGAACAAGCAATTCTTGTTGCGTTTGAGGGGCTTACAGCGACAGGTGACGTTGTTGTTGATCCACAAAGATTGGGCGGAACCAAGAAAGAGAGGAAGGAAGGATATTTTGGACTGGTTCAAAGTTTTATGGCCAGAACTGAATTGTCAGTTCGGCTGAAACTTCGCTCCCCTCCTCTCCCCTCCCACTACGGACTAATAAATAATCGGACTTTAAAAGCTTTACTTTACAACCAAAAATCATCTCTCCACTCAAATCTTATAATCTTATTTGATTTGATTGCTGTGAATTTTTACGTAGGCATCGACCGACCTACCCTCTCTCTCTGGGGAAACCCTAGAAATTTCAAAGATGAACGACGCAGATGTATCCAAGCAGATCCAACAGATGATTAGATTCATTCGGCAGGAGGCCGAGGAGAAAGCTAATGAGATACTTGTCTCCGCCGAGGAGGTTTTTACCTTTTCGCCTTGTTTTCTTTTCTGTTTATCTGTTTTCCTTCTATGATTTTTTATTTTCTTTTTTCCGTTTTGAATTCGGTGTTTCTTCTTAGGAAAACCGGTAAAAAAAAAAAATTACCACGTTAAATTGTATTCACTGGCTGTGCAGTAAGTGAGTTTGATTAATATGAATGTCCTAGTACCTGTATGTTCATTTTTTGTTTTGCAGACATTCGCTTTCAGTTAGATATAAGCGAGTTTGATGATATTCCGTCACAGATTGGTTTCAGCTTTCTTCCTATTATTTTATGAATTTTGATTTTATTTCACAGCTGACTCCGCCGATTTTAGACTTATTTGTTTTCCTTGTATGGTTTAAACACCATTGAATTAGTGAAGCAATCATTTCTCAATGGATTCTGTTGTAGATGGAATGCATCAGGTTACATGATATCATTAGACCGTGACACTGAACTGTTATTTTAAATTTCATACCTCCTGAACTGGATTTGCCATCTTGGACAGCTGGGGAAAAGTTTTCCTCAATGATTTAATTTGACATATTAAAGCCTCCGTTGTGAGGACTGATGAATACGTGATAGGGGAGGAATAAGTGATAGGCTAACATATTTTGTCAAAAGTATGCCACTGCACCACTTCACTGATATTTATTGATAATTTATTTGGCATTTTGTTTTATAGGAATTCAACATCGAGAAACTGCAACTAGTTGAATCTGAAAAGAAAAAGATCAGACAAGAGTATGAACGTAAACAGAAGCAGGTGGAAGTTCGTAAGAAAATGTGAGTTAATTAATGTATCTTCCATGATTCTAGAACTTTCTCTGGACCTTATGCTTCGTGATTAATAAAGAGTATTAGTTTTGTGGTATGACGGAACTTAGGAATCTGTTTGAAGTAATGGTTGGCCATGGATTTTTTGGTTTGGGAATCCTATAATTGTGTCGGATGATCACAATTTGAATATGTTTGGTTTAGCAATCTCCATTGTTTTTTTTTGATGTAAATGAGGATGCTTTGGTAACTAAGGAATCAGTATACCCGTCTAAACCAAAAAGGACGCCTAGTGCATGGGGGCGGCACCACTGCTGGGTCTGGGGTGGTCAATTTACGCATAATTAACCCTGCATGTGCAAAGATTATTTTCGTAACTCAGACCTATGATGCCAGGTCGCAATGGAACCTGCCTAAACTAATTATGGATATTACTGAGACATATGACTGGATACAATTGAAATTGTGATGGGGAACTTAATTACGAGTGCGAGATCAAATCCATTCTGTTTGTGGTGACACCGCTCAAGTTTGTTCACCTCCATGTCTCAGCGGTCAGCACTGGAGCAACATTTGTAAAGGGCTAGAGCTCCTTTAGATCGCTTAAAAATGCTCGTGGACAACCTCGGCTGCTGTGACAAAATAATGCCTGTTTTACTAATGATTTGTCTCTAACACCATCAGTATGAGATTTTGGTTGCTAAAATGGTTACTATGCAGTGAGTACTCAATGCAGCTGAATGCATCCCGTATCAAAGTTCTTCAAGCACAAGATGATGTGGTAACTGCTATGAAAGATTCTGCGAGCAAAGGGCTTCTGCGTGTCTCTGATGACCAGAGTGCATATAAAGAACTTCTCCAAGGCTTGATTGTTCAGGTATGTAATGCTGATCTATGTGGTACCCATTGCCGATATGGAACTTAAAAATTTGAGTATCTGCCATTATTCTTTGTATGATGGTTGTTGTACACATTTGGACCAGCCTTTTGAGCCCTTACAGTATCTGTTGACCCATTAATCCGGTAAATTAGATTGAAGCAGTCTCTTACATGTTATTTAATGACAATAATGACAACCAAAATAGACGACATGACTGTTTTTTTCTCATTTTTCAATCTTAGAGCCCTAAACTAGTTCTTGAAGATGCCTTGGTTCTTAGATGAAAGGAGATTGTATGATACTATTTATGCAATCTTCTCCCAAGTTTCAGCCATATAAGACGGTTCAGAATAGTATCCCTTGTTCTAATGCAAGTTTACTTGCGATTACCTGTTGACTGGTATTCATAGAAGGGAAAGCGATTTGCTGGAGAATTTCTTAGTATAGTTAACTTCTATATGCTGATTCCAAGGATCAAAATTTTGTTTCGGTGCATTAGAAAATTGAAACATTTCGACGTATTTCGGAAGCGTTTCGATCCATTTCGGAAACAGAACGAAAAAAATAAAAAATTTATGAATTATTTTTTCAAAACATTGGTCAAAATATACCAAAATATCTTAAAATATTTTGAAACATTCCGAAATAATTGTACAAATACATTGAAATATAACAACATTTTGAAATATTATGAAACACCCCGAAATATTAAAATTTTGATTCTATCACTGATTCGTTTTGGTCTCCATGAAAAGGGAAACGTTTCGAAATGATATTTTGATCCTTGGCTGATTCAAATTCATTTTTTTGGCTTTCCAATGAGATTTGATGATTGAAGATCTACCTTTTGAAACATCCAGAGTTTACTTCGACTGAAGGAGCCATCGGTGTTGTTGCGATCTAGAGAGGTCGATGTTGCACTCGTTGAGTCTGTTTTGGATGCAGCAAAGAAAGAGTATGCAGTGAAAGCAAAAGTACATGCCCCAAAAGTAGTCATTGACAAACGTGTGTTTCTTCCACCGCCTCCAAGCAGTGCAGACTCCCATGGTCCCTCCTGGTAGCTATTACAACCTCTTCTTGCAGCTGTGGTACTAAAGTCATGGGATCTTTTGCATTATATTAGAGCATCTTGTCCTTTTAGAATGAAATTGTTCTGTCTTTTTTCTTGAAAAGGGGTCATTTCCCAGTTTAGTCCCTGTAACCGATAGACTAGACTAGACTGGGTACAGACCCATTTTCTTCTGTGTCGAGCCTCTAATACAAGAGGATGCAACTTAACAATATGTAGTAGAGAAGGGCTAGAGATTTGATATGCTTGGGAAAATAAATGGATTACTTCTATTTATTCCATATTAGCCTTGTAGACCATATTGTGTCATTTCTAATTTTGACGCTTGTGCTGATAATGCTTCTGGTTTCCTCTTATAACTCCATTATTGACGATTTGAAAGCTCCGGAGGGGTTGTCCTAGCTTCACAAGATGGAAAGATTGTCTTTGAGAACACTCTGGATGCCCGATTGGATGTTGTTTTCTGGCAGAAACTTCCTGAGGTATTCATTTATTGAATTTCTCAGCACTTTTTTGTATTCAGAAGTAGGTATATAGGTCATTTTTTTTGGGTACTCTGCTCTATTTAGGCTGAATTAGCTTTTAAAATAATTAACATTTTTTTTTTTTAAAACATTGGCAGTATGTCTTCTCTGTCAATCTAGCCTAACTTATTTTTGGCATTCGTACTTGAATCTTGTAGCACCTACAATACTATTGATAAATGGTAATTATCCAATTGATGGGTTGAGGAGAAGGAAAAAAAAGGGGGGGGGGGGAACTAATTTTGGTTCTTATTTACACAAAGTCACTGCTTTCATCTTGGAGCATGACTTTACAGTTGTTACCCCTACCATTCTGCCACTACAGCAAGCATATGCACTGCACTGTAGTGTGAGAAAACTGATGTATTATCATGCTTATTGTAGGAAAACTTGAGCACCAATCATTGCAAGCCCCCCCCCCCCCCAAAAAAAAAAAAAAAAAACCCACCCCGCGCAAGGAGGGCATGATCAGTTGTCCACAACTGGTTGTATTGATCATTCTAAAGCCAATTAGTTATTATATAGTCCTTTATCTCCTCTCCTTTGTTTTAAAACATTTTATATGTCGGCTGATACGAAAACAGTAGTCATGGTCAATTTGTTCCTTGTTTTTTTATTTGTATGATCTGTTTGTTCAACAACGCTTGGCCCGACATTGGATTTATTGGAAAAAAACCAAAGTAGTGTTTATTCAATCCAATCTTTTATGCCAGCCCAAACAAACAAATTACTATCTTTGGAGAGGGAGGAATGCCGATAACAACTCTTTCCTTCCTTTCCACTGGTTCTCGAAAGCTATCAATCCCGCTTCTCCCATATTTATGCTCCCTCTCACACTAGTTGTGCATCAAATGATGAGCCCTGCAAAACTTTTTTTTTTTTTTTATTTGCACCCAACAGGTAGGCTATTAGATTGAGCTGAAAGCCTACCAACGCATAAGGGATCCGATTCGAGTGAGAGCCCGAATGGGGAGGCAATAACATATTTGATTGAAAACTCTACTGACTTGAATAATGAGAAAGGCTTTTTTTAAATTCGATCAAATTTTATATGGTTCTTTCTCTCCAGATTTTATATTTCGGAAGTCTGTTACGGAGGTTTTACTCCTCCTTTCTTTGAACTATGAGAAAGAACCTAATGAAGAAAACTATGACAAGGAAAATGAAAGGCATGGTATCTTTGTTAATGTTTGTTACTATGCTTTCAAAATTCTCATGTTGTTCTTTTTTCATCTCTGCAGATCCGCAAGCGTCTTATTGGTAAAGTGGGTGAATGATCAGGCTGGATTTTTGCGATTGCGTTAACCCGCCAGGGGATGGTTTTGAGCATGTCGAATTGACTAAACCTGGTCATATTGGGAAATAATTATATCTGCTCTGTTGTCCTAAAAAATGAGTGAATCACTAGAATATTGAGCTGGTTTGCAATAATTTGGACATGCATATCTTTTAGTTGATGAATAATTTTGCTTTAGGATCCTCTTCGAGCGTTAGGCTTGTACATATGTATTAGGCTTGTACATATGTATTATGAACTTGCATCATAATAGACGTTTGGTTGTATCCTCAATCATGTATTGGTGTGGTTTTCCTTGGACGAAAAAGGTGAAGGGACATAAACTCGAGGGCAGTTTGGGTTTTACGATGCTCACAATTGTTCACTAAACTTCGTCGCTTTTTTTATTTGACAAAGCTTTTATGTTTCTGGAATTTTTATGTTCAATCTATACTATGTCAATTAACCAGAAATAAATATTTGGAGCTACTGGAATGCATATCTGAATCCAACTATATATTTCGAGGAGTTTTGCATATTATTTATGTAGATTTTCAAACATTTATCACATTATCCCAAGAAAAATAGAAAATGTATCATATCTGGAAAAATGGGATTCCAATCTTGAACAAATCAAATCAAATGGGTTTCAAAGTGGATCAGACTCAGAATTGGAACGTGTTCTCACCTTTTGACAGCCCTCGGTTGGTTTTTATAGTCTAAATGTTTTGCCTGTGGCTCAGGTACAAATTTGAAACCGGTATTCCAACTTCAATTTTGATTCATCCTACACGTGTTGGATCTTGGAAATGGAAGGTTCTCCATTGCTTAGAATGCGCATGGTGCTACTATCTATCAGATATGATTGAACTCGGCTCAATATCCACATAACATAACCATTATTGGACAAACTCGCAAACCAAGCAAGGTATATCAACTTTGGTTGCCAAACTCAGGCGGTGGGTCAAGATAATGCATTTGTGGGTATATCAAGTTTTCTTGTAGCCCTTCCTTTACCAGCTCATAAGTCATTAACGACTTGAGCTCACGAATTGCCACATTTTCGCGCCAAATTCATGGAACATACACCCACTTACAGTAAAACAATCTGTATCATCCAAAATTGAAGAGCTTAGTTCCAACAATATGCTAAGAAACAGAGTACCTCCGGCTCCTACCCGTTTTCCCTACTGTTCCCCTTGATTTCCTTCCAGACTTCTGTTGTTTCCCACCAGTTGGACCGCTAAATATTCCAAATTTTCCTATCCCTCTGGAAAGCGAGGTTAAGAATGTTTTCCCATTTGCTGACTTATCCATCATCCCTTGTTTCATGAACACCTGTTGCTTCTCCAAATCACTGAGCCTCACTCTCATTCTTGAAATCTCAAGCTTCAGTTCTCGGTTCTCCCTCCTCAAAGAAGCATAGTTATCTCGAGGGGACATGGCTGCACTGGGAATACCACTGCTGATTTTCTGTGAAAGAAATCCATCTCCTGAACTTCCAGAGACAGCATTCTTCAGGCGAAGCTGCTCAAAATAGAGGACTCGGACAGCCATCTGGACTGGGAGTCGGTCATTTTGTGCAGCATGATTGCAGGCTTCTTGAGAGAGCTTTTGGCAGTCTATGAGCTTGCAGAGCTTCTTACACTCGTGCTCAGTTAACATGGGATGAGCCTAGTCAAGCAAAACAAGACAAAGTTCACTAACCTTCTTCCACTAGTTGGTAATAACACGAAGATAAAAATTTCTCACTTGCCACATTTTACTTAAACAGACACATTTAGAGAGACATAAACACTGTAAAGTACTCGACGTCTGCCATAATCACAATGATCAAAATGTGAAGCCGAAACTGGGCAACAGAAAATTATGTAAAACCATAGGTGGACACAAACTACGTATGGAGTGTGTTTGATAGTTTACCTTCATGTATATATCTACTGCTCTGTAAAGTCCATCATCAATTACTCGAGCATAATCAGGCAGTACCTCAATCATGGCAATGAATTTTTGCAGACTTAGATAAGGATCAGGGGCAATTTCTGCTAGATATGCATCAATGAGCTGTCCAACTTTCAAGACAGAACCATGGCTTGGAGAACCAAAGCCTCCTGATTCATACCCACAATCTTCATTCTCTTCCTCTTCAATTCGTTGCAGGAAATGTATAAGTATTCTGTGGACAGTCTCAACTTCAAATAAAGAATCACCAGTCTGGGCAGATGGTATGAGGAGATCATCAAGCAAAACCATTTCAAACCGAAAAGCAATCTTTCTTTCAAGCTCCAGTTTGCATGCGAGGGTTGCATCTATGATTATTGCCATCCTCAACATCCCAAACAGAAAACTCACGGGAACAGTTGAGCCTTTTTCTATTGGCAATAGACCCACAAGAGTTTCCAGAATCACCCTCTGGTCATTTTCCCCCACGCCCTGATTTGATCTAGCTGGATTCCACATCTGTGGTTTTGCAAGACCCTTCAGGGATATCTGAGCATAATGCATCAATGACGCAATAATGCTATCTGTTCGGACGCCACTACTACCCATGGCAGAGACAACTCTCTGATAGAAATCAATCCTTAGAGTTGAGAGATCTTCAACCCACCACTCAAGACATCTATCCTTAAGTTCTGTAGATCTACTTCCACAATCTAAACGAGACAAACCTGATACCAACTGCTCCTTACAAGCATTTCTGGCGATAGCATCGACGCACCTATTTGGAATTCCCACCTCCTCTGCTGCAGGAAGTAATGTCTCACAGGCAAATAGAACTTCCACGGATTTTTCAAGACTTTCAAAAACAACCTCATTCAGATAAGTTTCTGTTCTTGCAATGAGGTTTTCTTCATGATAGTCTTCCGTCATTTCCAAGAACTCTGTAGCACAGCGCAAATGGGCTACATTTGCACTTGTGATCGCAAAGTTCATGCCATAACAGAATTTTGCGGCAAGTTCAAATGTCTCGAGCCCACCTGGTAAGTTAATAAGCTCCAACTTCGAGATATTTGAATCCTTGGCATTTGCCAGCATTTTCCGAATCTTTCCACTTCGGGATACCAGGGGAAACTTCAATAAATTAAAAACCAAGTACAACACTCTAATCAGTTTTGAAAATCAACTGTGCATTATAAGTAAATTGACGTAGTATATGTGGGAAATAATAACCATCATTTAGCCATGCAAATATGAACAGAATTATAAGAAGAATTGACCACGTCATACTGAGTTGAAACACAGACACGTTGCTCAACCATACCATGCCCAGCCTCACAACACAATCACACACGCATTTTCTAAATAAAAAAGTGTTTAATTCATAAATGTGAATTCGTTAAGAATTGCATTTTTTAACATCTCCATATTTTCCATTTAATATTGGATGCATCAATGTCATTGCTGATGTGCTGGACATGTCAAAAGTTGAAGCAACTATATCTCAATTCAGTTTGTATGTTTCACATGTGGGTCTCATCTTGCGGATAACACATTCATTTTTGTTTAGTTCATGACAGATCCACACAATTTACAATATTTCTACTCGTGTAAAAATACATCGTCACACAACCCAACCCAACATGTTGTCTTTGCAAAAAAAAAATCTGATTTCATGGAGCTTCAAGTGACATATATGTAATTCAATGCTTATAATTTCTATGTGAAACCCAATTTTTATTGTATCTTGGGGAATGCTGCTAACGCAAGCAGAGGAAAAAACAGTAACTGAAATGAAATTCTTAAAGAATGAACATGCAGCTCGAAGGTTCTTGTAATGTTTAGCAGCAGATCTAGTCGCAGTACAACGAACTGATTTGAAATAATTGAAAGAATGAATCACCTTGTGCAGTAAAAAAGAGTCTCCATCAACGATAATTGTGATATCCCCAGCAACATCTAAGAATATACTGTGGACAAGTAGAACAAGTGAAAACAATGTCATGTGGAGAAGATATTTGACTTATCAATAGAAAAATGAGATTGCCACAAACAAATACAAGTTCTATATACATTTGAAAGAATTGTTCACAAGGTGAAGAGAACATCAGGGTCATGCGACATAAGTTAGGATTACAACTAAACATTTGTAGTGGAATCTTGTAGTAACATGTCAAATGTACCGTGAAACTTGCCATAAAATATCATACCGTGAATGATAGATTCCTTGTACTACCAAATTTGTAAACAAACAACAATCCAAAAAGAAATATTAAGAATCAGAATCAACTCATACCCTAAGTATAAGGTAAACTTAGAATAGGAAGTAAGTTATAGGATTGCAATTTAACATGTTCCTGACAAGTGACAACTAACTTTGCTGTGTACAAGTGTTTTTAAGTGCTTCCGAGCAAAGGAAAACATGTATTATAACTGACTGCTTTTCATGCATTTACAAGAAGAAGCACAGCATTACATTGGCTGAAGAGCATTATGCAAATGGTACCCAGGGACGGAACTACTACACGGCCACTTGTGGGGGGCAACAACCCCCACTCAATTTTAGAAAATTTGGCAAATTTTAGTACTTTTTAAAATTTGACTCCTCAAAAAAAATCTCTCATTCACCTCAATCTACTTAATCCTCTCTCAATTTTGGATCGTAATTAAATAAACATGAATAATCTTTAGTGAATTTCATCCCCTTTACATGTTTTCAAGTAATCATTCCCTATTTTGTCACTTTTTTGTCACTGCTGTCAATTTTGGGTAAATTGGGAAAATCATTTTAATTAGATTGATGAGGAGATTGCTATAGTTCTCAAAAATTTGAGAACTATTCTTGAACAATTATAAAAGAATTGAATAGAGATGTTGCCAATCAACATTTAAGTTTTTACATATATTATTAGTTCAATCATTTTATCTTTCTTATTGTTAAAATTTGCACCCACTACTTTAAATTTTTGGCTCCATACATAGTTCCTATGTGGGAACCTCTGAATTGCACGTGTATTTGAGCACAAATGAAATTAAAAATTGAAGTTTATATTTGTTATATTGTGGAATGAGGAAAACATCGTTGTAATCATTTAGACATATAGCTTACCTAACCTAAACTCTCTCTCTCTCTCTCTCTCTCTCTCTCTCTCTCTCCACACACAAGCACAAAAGCAATCAATCAATTAAAGAAACAGAGATAGTAGCTCAATTCCACCACGGAAAGCTACAGAAGGAAATTTGAGCTAACCAGACCTTAACTCGTGCAATTCATAGTCAACAACTTAAGATTTAGCAGGGGGATGAACTAATCAATTGGTCAAAATAGTGAATCCAGGCCCCGGATCATACATTTCTTAATTTATAAACAAAAGCAACAATTACAAATTAAACGACTGCTAATCATATCATGAATCACTCAGAATAGTGAGAACAATAGAGCATTAACGAAATCACTGAACACATGAAAATTCTCAGATTTAAGAATGACCAATTCGTCAACTACGGTATATTTGGACTTAGTAAAATTAATACAAGAACCATATTAAACATCAACAAATACCAAAACAGGCAGTTGAATCTCTCAGCTCTCGGCTTACACAGCGATCATACACAAAACGCTTATCTACCAATGCAGTCCCAAACAACAGTATGGACATACAGGTACATGTCGAGGAAAGATCAAGAGAGAGAGAGAGTGTGTCAGTACCGATTAGCAAAGGAGTTGCAGAATTTAGGAGTGGGAGAGTGGTGGAGAAAAGAGAGAGAGTTTTCGGACACCATTGCGCCACTACCAATCCTCATTCTTCACTTTCACCGGCGAACAACATCTGTAACTGCTGCTGCTCAGAATAATGGGAATGGGAATGGGAATGAGAATGTCAGGGAGGGAAGGAATATGAATACTTGTGCCAAATTACGGAAAAAGCCTCGTCATGTACATTGATTTACAACTATAACTCACCTTTTTCTCTTTATGGGGAATCACCCCCTTTTGCTTTTCATTCCTTTGCTTTTGCCTTGTATATGTGGAGGGATATATATATATATTTATTAAATTAGACTTCTTTTTAATTAAGCACTGTTTGGTGGTTGAAACCATAATCATATTTGTTTGTCTTCATTTCGTAGATTGGTCACAGTCGATGCAATTTTTGCATAGAAAGATGTGAGTCAAAAATGTTTGTTGTGTTACGAGTCAATTATTCTCCCACAAATGATTATGAATTCGTATTTTATTTTGTATTGTATTGTGTTGTTCAAATAATTTTTATTAAGAAGATTTTGGCATTATTCCTCCTAAATCCGATTTTTGTTACATGCAATCAATTCATGTGATTTATGAAAAAAAATTATGCCTGGCTACACATAATCAGCAAAGTCATCCACCACCCATCGGATCAGAGAGAGGCAGTGTTGTTAATATAGAAGGATCCAGGGGTATTTTGGTTATAGGAGTACCAAATGTGTGCAAATAAAGTAGTGAAACCGAGAAATTTGGAGAATGGAGGAGGAGTGGCGTGATGGGACAGAATGTGGCACGGAACTCTAGAAAGCGAACAATTATTATGAGAGGAACTTTAATCATATCACTCCACAACTTTTTCTGGGAATGAATGACTGCAATTAAAAACCTGACAGCCAGCCAAAGTTTTCCTAAAGTATGATCCGTTAGACATCTTTCTTTCTTCTGTTGACCGAGAATATCATTACTTTCCCAAGGAAGAGGGCTGCTTATTTCCTTCCTCTTCTCTTCTCTTCTCTTCTCTTCTCTCCTCTTTTTTCGTTTGTAATGCCAACAACAACCTACAATACCCACGAGACGAGGGGTGCACTTTGTCGGCGGATTTGGGACAATAGTGCCCACAGGCAGACCCCAGACTGCATTGTGTTTTCTTTTGGGTTAATCCAGCCACCTTCGTTTAATATAACAGAATGTGAGAGCAGCAGAATTTGGACAACTTGTGACGACAACCAGACACATGCTTGTTGAGCAAATAATGAGTTCCAAATCTCATTCCTGTGTTTCACTTTATTTATTTACTGAGCTATTTGGATTTTTTGAAATCATTCTGGGGGGAGATTCAGTGGGTGTATGTAATGACTTGCAGGAACTTTTGGTATTTCTACGCATTAGAGGTAGTTCATCAGACATGCTCTTTTTCTTACCAACTTTAATGTATGAAAGAGACGGTCTCTCCTAATTTTATAAATTCTGGATCTTCAGTATTTCTTAATTGATCTCCTAACCCTCAATTTAACGTGAAATTGGATTTTAATGAATATTTGAGAGAAAAAAATATCATTTCTTTATTAAATTTGAAGTCACTTTTTAAAATAATCAGATTTGATGAAAGTTGAATTTCACTTCAGAAGGACTCTTTTTTATTTTACCGCATATCGTTCTTCTTCGGACCATGCAAGGCAACAACTTTCCATAGGAAAATGCATTCCATTAAAAAGACTTTTCATTATACCAAATACGAAAGAATGGAATTACTTTGAATAATTGTCTAACTAATTTTTTACTTTGTAACGAGAACAAAGTAAAAAATTGGATTCATTTCTTTGGATGAAAGGAAGCATATCGACAGAGATAAAAATGAAATAATTCTATTGTTAGTGTGTAATGATAATTTATTATATTATCTTAGAAAAAATAAAGACAAAAAAAAAAAGGGGAAAAAAAAAGAAGAAAAAGGAAGAAATGTAAATAACTAGGTACGAGCCTCGTACAACGGAGGCCCATTATGACAAAGCCCAATGTTGTCACAGTGGCAAAATTCCAGGCTGCTATTTATTTTCTCCGACTCGAGGGAAGACGGAGACTGCCACTCCAGCCCCCTAAAGAACCACATACTCTCGTCACCAGACAATGCAAAGCAGCAACGTGGTCTCAACTTATTCACTGTAAGTAATCCAACGGCCTATCTTCTTCTTCAATTTTAAGTCATAGCTTCAATATCCATTCGAACTTAGTTGACAGCTTTACAACACAACTTAAGAGGGATGGAGAGCTCTCTGTACCCCTCGTCGCATGTTGACGATAATGCTATTCGGTGGTTATTTCAATTACGTTTTTTTTGTTTTGCCGGGGGTGGGGGTGGGGGTGGGTTTAATTGAAGAAATTACTGACTTCTTAGCTCTTTATGCATTGCAGATGTCCCGTTATTTCTTTGGATTACCATTGTCAAGTACCAAATCAGTTACAATTCCCCTATAGTCTCAACTTCGGGTTTGCGAGAGGTTCGTACAAGTAGCGATATATGCTCTCTTTTTCTAAATTAAATTAGACATACTCTCCAACTTAGAAAAACTTGGAAACTACTACCTAATTGGAGGTACAATGAATTAAAAAGGAGATATTTCTGAGTTAAAGCGATTGTAGCTTATCATTAACTATTGTAGTTTTGAATTGGATTGTAGGGTCTTGGGTATGTTTCCCGATGCAAGATTTTGTCATCACCTTGAAAAGTCATGCTTAGTGTTTTGAGTTGCCTCATATATATTTCTTCCCCATTATTTCACTTCTTTTTGTCGACCTCATATATACTATGTGAGTGAAAATAAGAAGATTTGACAACAAGAAAAATGGGTGAGTTCAAATATATCTTCTCTGATGGTAGCCATCGTCTTCATTTTTCCAGGGAGAAGAAAGCTTAAGGCTTCACAATTGAAGGCTGGTTTTTGGGAATCCATCAGATCTGGGTAATCAAAACTATTTACTGTTATTGACTTGGACACACGCCCACAATACACCATTTTGGAGACACTATCAAATTACTGACCACTTGAAGTTGCACACTTACACTAAATTGTGAGTAGTATTTTAGGGAATACATGGTCAATATGATGCTTTCCCTTATTGTCATCGTTTTCTTAGCCAGATTTATTGGTTTAAGATGCATCAATATTCTGTGTCAGATGTTGGAATTCTTGTAAACTCAAAGAAGAATGTTAAGGTCATGTTTTTGTTTGGTTATTCTATCACTTTTTTCAGATGAACTGTATAAAATGATTTATGACAGAAAAGTGTCTTGCCACATTTAGGTGTGGGTATGAATTGAAGGTGAAGTACTGCTATTTTTTTTTGTTGTGGTTGCTTTGGCTTGGAAGATAACTTCTCTAGTGTCACTCAGTAAATCACTGGTCAAGAACTATAGATTGTCATATGTCTTGGACCATATTGGGATTTGATTATGTTGAGAACTATGCAATATGGTGAACAATCAAGAACAACAAAATTTACGTGGTTATACAGGAATCCCTACCTACATCCATAAGAATGACTTTTCTTTATTATTGTTTTATCAGAATTCACAGGGTTACAACATATTTATCAGCAACAGTTAATAATCATGGTAAACTTCCTAGTTTACCTAACCTAATCATGATAAAACTCCTCTACGAGATGTATATTAAAAACCTTCAATGTACTTATTCTCAGGGATGCCCTATCACGGGGCATTACCTACCGCAAGGCATTCTGACGGGGATCGTGTAGGAATTGGATAGATATTATAGATTAATTATGATAGTTATTTAAATACTTCTAATATTTATCTTTTAAGTAATTTCTTTTAATTTTTAAGGGTTTAGTTATCATTATGACTATTTATTTCTTTTATAGTTTTTTTAGGATTTATGTTCTCCATATATATATAGGGGATATAATATTTGTTTTGAGAGACTTTGATTATTGATTATTGATATTGAATCTTCTTTCTAAAATTCTCTCTATTCTCATCTCCTTCTTCTTCTTTTCTCATCCCTAATTCTTCCCTAATACGATTTACATCAATTTAGTATCAGAGCTCAACTTCGATTCATACAAATCACAAAAAAAAAAAAAAATTATTAACCAAATTATTGTTCGTGTACTATTCACCATCCCTACATATTCAAAAAATTACAGTAACATCCCAGCTGTTTTAGAAATTACAGAGACACTCCAAAAAGTTTAAGAAGTTGTAAAATCACCACCAGAAATTCCAAAATTTGTAGAATCTTCCCCCAGAAGTTTCAGAATTACAGAAACATTACCCCAGAAGTTGCAAAAATTACAGAATTTTTCCCCCAGTTCAGAATTGCAGAAACATCACCAATAGATCCATAAAATTGCAGAATCATCCTAAAAAAAATTTAGAATTTCCTCTTGATTATGGTATGCATACTCCTATAGAATTTGAGATTAATATTTTTATTCATTGAAAAATTAGAGAATTTACAAATGATCCAAAATATATTTTCTTCTATTTAAACTTTCTTAAAATTGTTAATTGCATTCTTGAATTTGTTCTTATACCATTTTCATCTCTCAAGAGTCACTCATGAGTCCCTCTAATGCACATGTTTCAAGAGTCTCTCGTCGAGATCATAATCATAGGAAGTCTAGGGATGTTTACATGGAGTCAACTCATATGACCAAGTCAAAGATCTTTCTATATTTAGTGGCACTTTAGATCCCAATCAATTCTTGGATTGGTTAGCTAATTTAGAAGAATATTTTGATTGGCATGACATGTCGGATTTCCATTACTTCTGTTTTGCTAAATTGATGTTGGAGGGTTTGGCCAAGAAGTATTGGCAAACAATCCAAAGAAGCCTAGACCCCTTAGAAGAATCACCTATCACTTGGGTTGAAATGAGATATAAATTAAAAGAGAAGTATTTGCCTATTTCCTACATGGATCAAGTTTATGACCAATGACTCAATCTTAGACAACATTCTTCTAGTGTCTCTGATTACTTTGCCCAATTTGATTATCTCATGTACTTGTGTGACATTGTTGAAGAACTTTGGACAATTAATCAGTTTATTTTTGGGTTGAGACAAAAAATTAGTAGGGAGATTAAGCAATACACTTTTAATACGTTAGTTGCAGCCTATCAATATGCTCTAAAGATTGAGAGATTTTATAAAAAATCCAATTATACCTTGATGGGTTCTCAATCACAGCCTGCTGATAGGACATCTTCTAATTTTAATTCCATCACATATGAGTATCATGATTACTTAAACGATGTCCATGTTGTTTCTGCATACTTTCCTAATCTGAATGTGGCACAAGATTAAGATATTTTAGTGTCAGATAAAGAAAAAAATGTTACTCATATAGACTTCCAACTCCCTCATTTGGTTTCGTCATATCAGAGTCCTCCTCCTTTGCACCCACAAGAGTCCATTTCGAAAAAAAGTGTGTGAGTCTTTGTTTGTGTCCATTCTTGAATCATCATTGGTCTTGAAAATTGTGAAAAAGTCTGTTGAATCTACACATATGCAAGATATTAAGTCAATCGAGTCATTTATTGCAGAATCTAATAGTGACTATTCTATGTCTACTTATCTAAGTCATCATGACTTTGTTACAAATTCTTCTCAATCTGAGATTTTTGACATTGTTCTGGATTCTGCCCCACTTGAGAGTGTTAACTTTGATTCTTTGCCTACTGTCAAGTATTCAATTTAACCTGTACTTTCTTATTTTCAGCACCAGGGTGTTATAATTACTCCTTTGTCATAAATGTCTTGTCTCATTGAGTGCCTGTTGTTCAAATTTAATGGGAATTGTTTTGCTATTTTTGAGTTTGGATTTAATGCTTATTTGCTTAATTTTTCATTGAATATTAGTATTAGTCCAGATTTTTATTTGGAGGACATGCTGCTTATTCGAGGTACTCTAGAGCCTCTTATTTTATTCGCAGGTGTTCATACAGATGGAGATTCTTGCATTTATCCTGGTCGATGGAAAAAAGTCGATGATTCTTTCATTCTAGATGAGGCATTATGTCATTTTCATCCTGCTCTCTTAGGGTACTTCTACTTTGAAAACTCTCCGGAGAAGAGTTTTTTTCAACCGGAAGAAAAGATGGGGATCGTTTAGGATTTGGATAGATATTATAGATTAATTATGATAGTTATTTAGATACTTATAATATTTATTTTTAAGTAATTTTTTTTAACTTTTAAGGGTTTAGCTGTCATTATGACTATTTATTTCTTTTAGAGTTCTTTTAAGATTTGTGTTCTCCCTATATATATAAGGGATATGATATTTGTTTTAAGAGACTTTGATTATTGATTATTGATATTGAATCTTTTTTCTAAAATTCTCTCTATTCTCATTTCATTTTTCTTCTTTTTTCATCCCTTTCTTCTTCCCTTCTCATCCCTAATTCTTCCCTAATACGATCTACATCACATTCCCTATTGTGGGGTTCCCAACCTATTATTTGACCCCGACAACCAAACAATAGTACCGCTCAACTGCCTCCGTTGACTTTTGGTTGGGAACACATCCCAAAAACAAAACTAAATACACAATATTTTTCACTAAAGTTAGTAGGGCGTAGTAAATATGAACCGCTCACTATTTCCAACAATCTCTACCTTTGGCGAATAATTTACCACTCTAGAAAAGTTTCATAACTTGTCTCCAACAATCTCTACCTACATCCACATTGGGGATGCAACCTTTCTCAACATTGAAAAATATTAACACAGTCCAACCACTGTTTGAAGGAATTGGTTTTGTCAACACGTCAGCTGCATCATCAAGAGTACATAGTTGATCCAGTATCACATCTCCGGTAACAATTGACTCTCACACCTTGTGAAACCTCACATTAATTGCCTTTCTTGGCATGATACGCCTGATGCTTTGCACTATGATTACCACAATGCAACCGAGCTCCATCTTGCTTGAATCCAAGCTCTTTCATCCACAAACACTTCCTTGGCAGCCTCAATCACTGCCTCAGTTGTAGATAAAGCGACTAGCGATTGTAACATGGATCTCTTAACATATTTGTCCTCCTACAAGTGTATACAAATATATTATAGTAGACTTTCTGTCATCCAAATCCCTACCATAACAAGCATCTGCATACCCCACAACTAAAATCCAATCCCACTGGGCTAGCCCACCTGACTACCTCGCCCTATTTTTCTAAAATAAAAAACTTACAAGAATCCAACTTCCATGATTTAACTCTCTACAATAACTTTCTTTTGTGTAGTTTTATCATGCAAAGCTCTCCCATTTGCCCTAATTGCATATGCCATGACAAAGTGTCATCAGTTTCAGTCTCAGAATATATACCTGCAGCAACTCCACCTACAACAGAACCCTCTTCCAACTTGTAGATATTTCCTACAATTTTTTGTTATTTCATAATCACCATAGAACCTTTGGTTACCTTTAATACTCCACATTCTACCTTGTAACCACAGTCATTGGAGTCTGAGGATCCCAAATAGATTAGATTTTTCCTCAAATCTAAAACATGCTTGACATCTCTCAAAGTTAGCACAACACCATCAAACATTTTAACCCTAATTGTGTCAATTCCAATGATTTTGCATAATTGTGGTACCCATTAGAATGGTACCACAATTAACTGACGTATAGGTGTCGAACCAATCTCGATTAGGAGACATGTGATACGAGCACGTAAAATCTAGAATCCATGAGTCTCCCATGTGATTAGAATTTATTGAGATCGAAAACACATCACCATTACCACAGTCTACGTCTTGTATTATCACGTTTGTTGTGTTCGATGATCCCTCCTTATTTTTCACTCCTTTTCCCTTCTCCCTCTTAGGACAACCCTTCTTCATGTGCACTCTCTTATGGCACTTGAAGTACTTTATGTCTCATTTACCCCTGCTTCTCCCACGATCTTGATTATCCTTTCAACGATAGTTTGCCTCCGCTGATTATACTCTAACAGGGTTCATGTAATCTCCTTTTGTAGCCAAATTATCCTTCCCATACAGTAAGGTTGTAACCAAACTTTCTTATGAAACAGGAAGAAAAGTTAGAAAGCATCAATGTTTGATCTTCCTCCTTGAACTTGTATCAATCCTCTACAACTCGTTGATAATCTGATTAAACAAGTTGTTGTGTTGAGCTAGATTTGAATCATCCACCATCTTAAGTTCATTCAACTTATGGTTAAGATAGAGCTTATTCAATAAAGATTTCGACATGAATTGACTCTCTAATTTCTTCCACATAATTGAAGGAGATTCTTTATCCATGACATGATATAGAACATTATCTGTCAGACAGAGGCGAATTGTACTCACCACCTACATCTAGATATCTTCCCGGTCATCCGTTGACATCTTTTATAGTTTCTTCGCTTTTTCTTCCAACATCTTCACCAATCCTTGCTACACCAGCAAATTTTTAACTCTTCTCTGCCTTACCCCAAAGTTCCGGTGCCAATCAAATTTCACGACTTTATACCTTGCCAACTGATTGAGTAACTAATAGCTTGGATACCAGTTTGTTGTGAATGTGAAATATTGTGAACAATCAAGAAAAAAAATATAAAAAAAAATAACGCAAGATTTATGTGGTTCCATATAAATCCCTACTTACATCTCCAAGAATGACTTTTTTTTTTTTTTTAATTATTGTCTATCAAAATCCAAAGGGTTACAACTTAAAACATATTTTAGACATCAGTTAATAACCCAAATCCTGGTCCAACTAGGAGACCTATCCCAGTATGTCTAAGACATCAATTCCTGTTAAACTTCCTAGTTTACCCAATTTTTGTAAAACTCCTCAATCAGATGTACATTGGAAACCCTCAATGTACTCATTCCTTATCACAGGGAGCCGTGGGCATTCCCTGCTACTCGGTATTTCCCCCATCCCTCAACATATTATTCGATCCTGGCAACCAACATTAACTTTTGGCTGGGAACACATCCTTATCCAAAAATAAAACTAAATAGACAATATTCACATTAAAGTTAGTAGGACTAGGGCTTAGTGAATATGAGTCGCTCACTATTTCCAACAGATTCTAGGGGATATTGGGAACATCCACTCAGATATTGACTGCAACTCTTTTTGTGGGCTCCTTACCTAAAAATTCCGTCTTTAGATGCCAGGTTTAATGGGGGCACATTGTTGGACTCGTACAGGTGGTGCTTGCGAGTTACTCAAGTTTAAAACAATCTAACACAATTTCATATTACAAAGGTCTCATATATTTGTGGGCGATATGTAGTTCTATATCCATCTTCTGGGTGATTAAGTATCAAAAACCTTTAGTTCCTGCCTCTTACTCTAATATGCTAGTTATTTCTCCTGAAAGAATTTATTCAGTTATAATGCTCCCAGTCAGTCTCATTGACCACATGGCTTACACTTTACTCCAACCCAACTTTTTTCCTGTTGCAGGTTTTTGAAGAACAATACAACACAGGTTATAGAACCGCCCTCCCCTCCTGATGAAGGAGAAGAACAGTTGCCTCAGGAGTTTGTTCTTGTCGAAAAGACCCTAACAGATGGAACAATTGAACAAATTATGTTTTCTTCAGGTGGGGATGTTGACGTGTATGATCTCCAAGCCTTATGCGACAAGGTGGCTATTGATTTCATGATCTCCCATGCAAATGCATTGTTCACTCTCTGTACATGATCATTCAGTGTTACAGTTGTGCTCCTATCATCTCATGCATCTGAAAAAAGCCCTCATCCATCTGCATAATTCATTGCAGTTTTCTAAAATGTGAGTGTTTGGGAGCCCTTACTCCCCACCAGGATCCCAATTATCACAAAACCCTTCACAACATCTACTCTGATGCGCATTATACCTTTTATAGAGTTTTAAATTGCTAGACTGGTTAAGTTGGTATGCAAAAACCATTGACTAGTTGATCAAGTTATAGATTTGTCTAATTCTTAAGTGTTCTGTCCCTTCCAAAATAAAGTTCAGTGACTATATGTTTGGTTATACTAGGTTTGATTAGTTGCAAAAATTAAATTCTTGCTGTGAAACGTCCTTTACTTCATATGTTTTATTAGGTTGGCTGGCCTCGAAGGCCACTGTCCAAATTAGCTGCGGCTTTGAAAAATAGCTATATGGTAGCTACGTTGCATTCTATAAAGAAACCATCTGGAGCAGGTACTTAATATGAACTTTTTTGTCATTCACGCATCTCACTTTTTAATGCTTGTAATGTGGCTAAAAACCTTGTTTTCTGAGTTTTACTTCTTCATTTTAAAAAAAATGACGAACATCTTATTGTACTTGGCAAAGTTACTTGGCAGAAGGGAGCAACCAAAGGACGCTTATAGGCATGGCTCGTGCTACATCGGATCATGCCTTCAATGCGACTATATGGGATGTCCTTGTTGATCCTTATTATCAGGTATACTCTCTGTTTCTTGTACCTGGAAAAACACGCTAATGATGGGTCTAGAAAGATGGTCACCTATATGAAACTAGGATGCTGAAAGGCCATGATCTAGTTGTTTGGTTTGACTGTCTGGGAACTTGTAGGGGTGGACAGGTGACATCAAACACTTTTTTTTTCTTTCTCAGTGATTGCTACAGGACATATTTGTTGGTAAAAGTAAGAAGGCCTAAACAGCTAAAGGATTCTAGGAAGCCTAGTCCAAATGTCAGGATAGTTTATATGATGCTTGCTGGTTTTTTGCAGTCCTATTATCATACTGCTATGCATGCGATCATCTTTTACTTTGCCTTCATGAGCAGGTTTTCTTGCGTTTTTGTCCAATGTATTTATACACTATGGAAGCTTGTGATCCCTAGGTATTCTTAGGATTGTGTAGCGTCTAAGTGGTGATTGTAATTTAGGGTGCATTTCAGAAGCAACTTAATGATGGTGGTTTTCTGATGGCCCACCATGTAGAATTTTACTGGTCTGTTTTCAGCACCCTTGGTATTTTTCAATGATGTAACTTTGAGATGTGCCCAAACTCTGTGAATTGCATTTTTTGAATGGTAAAAAATTGGTAATTTTAATGATCGACTTTTCCTTTTAGTCCTAGAAATTACTTCTGAAAGTGGCTCAATTTCTGCACTCTTTCTTTTTGGGAGAGGGCCAAGATGCATAATTTTTTTCATTCTATAATGATTTACTACAAATTACTTGAATAAGATTACTCTTCCTTGTAGCTTTCTCAGCTCTTAGAATGTTGACATCAAAGTTATATTTGAATAGTCTAGCTACTGCTTATGGCACACACAATACAAAGTACATCTAGGGCATCAATCATATCATTTTTTGGGCGTACGAGGATTATTATGGATCAGGGTCAGTAGGACCCATGTGTGACATGTTTGTCTGAAAAGGAGTAAAAGACATTTAGAAGTTGTTTTAAGAACCATACGTGTCTGAAATATCTATATATTACGTATATGTTACTTTAATTTTTATGCAACCTCTGATATTGTTATAACTGTTATCTTGAAAATTAGGGCCAAGGTCTTGGAAAGGTCCTTGTTGAGAAGCTTATAAGGGCTCTCCTGCAAAGGGATATCTGCAATATTACACTTTTCGCGGATAGTCAAGGTATAGTGAGTAAAATTAAGAACATGTTCTTTGTAACGGACTTATAAGTAAAGTCTACTGATGTACAGTTATACAAGATATGTGGAACTGTCTTTACAGCACCAAACTTTGTCATTTCATTTCTTGCTTTACTATTCCTTTTAGCATGTATCAACTTTGATCACTTCAGTTCAAAACAGAGAACACTCTTCCTGGCACAAATTTGAAGCATTGAGTTTCACTAGGTTTTGTTGCAAAATCGTTGCAGTTGTGGAATTTTATCGGAAGCTAGGTTTTGAACCTGATCCAGAGGGCATCAAAGGTATGTTTTGGTACCCCAGGTAGTAGCTGTCTCAGTGGCCTCGGCACCGCTTGATACTGCTAACAGTACATTGCTCATGTAGTAGAGTAAATGGATGTGGGGGTGTTTGTAAGGGATCTGTTTTTGTTTATGATCATTATGCAGCAAGTTTCTGTTTTTGTGTATATTGGAATGCTGATATCAATGACTCCTGTATCTTAGCGTTTGGTACATTGAGCGCATGTGGCCCTTTTGTAGCCTAACAGGTTTATTTACTTTGGAACAGTCGAATATTTCTTTCAACTGTGGGTAATTTAGGTTTCTTAGATTATTGCTTCCTGCACTATGTTACCTTTGTTTTGGGCCATGTAAAAGTCAGATTGGTTCAATTTAACGAGTCTTTCTCAAATTGATTTGTTTAACATTGATCTCAAGCGATCATATAATCCTATAATGGTGGATACAAGCATATTTATTAATTGCAGCCAAACAAATGGGAATATGGCCTATATCATTATCTTATGTTATACATTTCCCTATTTTGGCGTTTAGGTTGTTTCACCGAGTTCTGGTTTGTATCGGTTGGACTGTATCTAGCAAACAAGGGTTCGTTTTTGTCAATAATTGATCATCTCCATTCAATACCATTTAAAATTACGTTAGTTTATTTAATGACGCTTTTAATACTCAAAAATTCTGCATCTGGCGCTTCTCTCAACTCAATTGGAACTTGTGAAATGAAAGGAAAACAAAAGTCTGTTGGTGTATAAACATGTATTTCCTCTGTTTTTAAATATCTGTCGTTTAATGAAACTAAAACATAATTAATATTTTTTTTTCTAAATTTATCCTTAACTTTTTAATGCATTAGATTAGGTAGAGATTAAGTGTCTTTCATATTTTTTTTTCCTAATACGTATTGAATAAGAGTACTTTAATCTTGTGTAATTATTTTTTTATTTATATTAGAGCTATTTAATAGTTTCCTTAATTTTCGTGTAAAAATTTTAAACGACAGATATTTAGAAACAGAGTGAATATTTAATTTCAAAAATTTACTCATATACCTAAATTTATTTATTTTTTAATATTTTATTTGTTCTTTCTATTTTTAGGCCCCCCCCCCCCCCCCCCCCCCCCCCCTTTGCTCAAAAGCTCTTTGGGACCGTAGGAAACAAACATCGAGGTGAAGTCGGTTAGAATTGGAGTCATACCAAATTGAGGTTTTAATCAAAAGTAAGTTTACCTACTCCCACCAATCCCTTCGGATTTGTGCAGCACATTATTTCACTAATTCAATTGTATAAAATAATATAGGGGGCAACGACAAACAAGTCATTGTCAAATAAGGTGTCGGAACCGTAAAATATCAATTACACATATAAGTAAGTACAAAAAATTTCACGTTATCGTCATAATCAAAATTAAACTCGCACCACCCCCAAACGGCATTTTATTTATGCATCACCACAAAAAGCCCCCCACCCACCATTGGTACACTTGTCACTTGAAAAATTATTTTAATTATCATACTTTAATTTTTTCCAACCAACCAAAAAAAGTGACCGTAGCCTTTTCCATTGTTTATGTTGCCCGGTATAATTGTCAGGATAAGTACGATTAATATAATATTATTTTATTGTGGGAGTGATACAGTAAAATATCACTCAAATTTTGAAATATATATTAAAGTTCGATAATTAGTCGTTATGCTAATTTAAATAACGAGCATAATTAAAGACCTCGTAATTCCATCAAAATTTATCTTTTAATTCGTGAGCATTCACCCTTTTTCAAAAAATAAAAATAAAAATAATATTATTTCTGCAAAGGAGTCTTTTTCATTTATTATTCTCCTCCACGATATCTCGTGCTTTGTTTAATAGTCAGGAAGGAATGACAATAGGAGAGATACATTTTGTTCGACAAAGGAGTCTTTTTCCTAACCGAAGATGATGTCAGTTTCAGACAACTTTTCCTCCCGCTCTCTCTCTAGGCACTACTTCCTTCCTTTGACTTGCTGTACTTCGACTCCGTTCAGACCTGCAATTATTCACACTTTTCCTTTTTGGCTTTTGCCATTCTATATGTTCTCTTTACTAGTTCACTCTTCTCATGTAAAGCAAGACAAGGTAGGGATGTTCGAATTGAACTCACTTGTAAAACTATTTGTTCTCATTATCTATTTTTTTTTATCTCTTCTCTGAATTCTTGCGATTTCGGAAAGTTGCAATGTTTTATATCTGATTCTTCATGAGCCACAATTGTTGAGCTTCATTATAATTCTCTGTTTAGTTGCCGAGAACACTAAGCATCAGCGTTTGAAAATGTTTTGTTGGCATCCTCAACACGCTTGTGAATGAAATGCTTTTTTGTTTTTTCCTGAAATATATATTTTATTATTTGAAGTGGTCGAATTGCATAACGATTTTTTCGATAATTGATCACGTGGAATTGTCTTCCTTTGGTTCGTTGGATTTCTGCAGTTTCAGGATGGCGGGGTTGAGACTCTGTGGAATTCTTTTTGCTGCATCATTTTATTGCTCTGTGCTCCTTGCAGATTCACATATTACCGATCCTTCTGAAGGTGAACGTTGCTAAGTTTAATCTTAGTATTACTTTCACCATTTTTGGTTGAAGAGGTTTTGAGGACTCCATATTTGCAATATCATCGTATCAGACAAGTTTTTCGTCTTCCAATTCAGTTCACAGGCATAAGTTATGACAAATTTGCTTGCCATCTGTGCAATGATATTATCTAAATTGGATGATATCATCTTACGATAACATTGTTGCATACTGGTATTTCGTCTTCCAATTTCAGTTCACAAGCGTAAATTATGCCAATTTTGCTTGCCATCTTCTGGATGATATTATCTTCATTGGATTCCACTATAGATAAAAAATGAAATGCACAGATAGTTTCTTCAACAACCTAGCTATTTAAGCTTGACAACAATATTCTGCATGGCATATTTACAAAATTGGTTATACTAGGGTGTTAAAGGCATCTGGATAGGTGAACTGGCTTGTTATACAAATCGAACTTGTGACCAAAGTAAAATTTGATACGAGCCAGTAGTCTGTAGTATTACAGTGCTACTCACTCTCAAGATGGACTTTTATTCACACTGTTGACCCTATTACACTTTTCAGTTTTAATGTCCTCACTCTAAACCTCTCGAATCATGGCCTGCTAGTGTTTCACTCCTGGAAAAGTAGACGATTTGGTCAATATAATATTTTTATTTTCCTGAATTTGAAGCAAAAGAAGGATAAATTAAGCTTTATGCAGAAGGAATTATTCGGAAGAAATGATGAATAACATGATAGTCTTGCATGATTTAATCTTTCGCATCTGTTGAGAGGAAAATCCTCCATGATGGCTGTTAGACTCTTCATGTGTTATCATATCAAGGTAGGCAGGAGATAACACCAAAATGAGCATAGGCGAAACAGGCATACGTGAGGTTGACATTTGAAGTGGTAGGACATGGAAGGCTAGTGTCAGTTGTGATACCTATGAGAAATTTTGAAATGATAAATAATGAGGTGCTTTCTTATCAATACTGGTAAGATGACATAGACTACAAATGGGAAAGCATTTTTGCATTTATGGAATGATATGATGGCCTATGAACCAACAAAAGCATTTATTTTTGTGGTAGAAGTAGTTTGTATAAGTTTTATCAAGCTATGTTCAGTGGCAGTGTTAATTTGATTTATCAGTGAATGAAGATAACCGCATGTCTGAATAATTTTTATTTGCGCTGCACATCGTTTAAGGGATTTGCTATCTTGGAAGGTAAAATTTTATGACAAATTATACCTTGTCAATACTTCTGTCCTTTCAGTATGATTTGAGCCATCCATCCTAGTAGTACTCTCGTCTAATCATGCTTAACTGCATATTGTAAGTGTTAATTGTACACCAGTGTAGATTTTGTCCCTTAACTTCTTTGATTCACCTCTATTGCATTTAATGCAAGCAGTAAATTAGGTACAATTTATCCCACATATTGTGCTGTAATAGAATTAAGCATCAGCATATGCCTTTGTTTGAGAACATACTGCTCACCAGAAAACTATAGAACACAATTTCTTGCTTTTATGCCTGTTAAATAGCTAGTTGAATGGCTGTATCCGACGCATAAATTGAGTAGAATTCTGGTCTATACTTGATTTTCACCATGTATAACCATAATTTGTTGGTGGTATTATTTACATAAATCAATTATTTATGTGCTTCCACTGCAGTCTCAGCATTATTAGCTGTCAAGGGCAGTTTAATCGATCGTAGGAAGCATCTTAAGAGCTGGAATAAGGGTGATCCATGTACATCAAACTGGACAGGAGTTTTATGCTTCAATGCAAGTGGGACTGATGGATACTTGCATGTCCGGGAGCTGTATGTTATAGTTGTAAAACTGTTTGACTTTCACTTACTGGTCTTTTCTTGAATATAATTACTTTGCTCTCGTTTGCCAGTACAGTTATTACTTTCTATACATCTAACACAACAGCTGACCTTTTAATTCTGAGTGTATGCTTTAGTTTGACTTCTTTTAAATTGAAGTTGTTACATGTCCTCCTTTTTGGTGCAGACAACTTCTGAATATGAATTTGTCTGGAAGTTTAGCACCTGAGCTTGGCCAACTATCTCATCTTCAAATTTTGTGAGTCATGCTACAACATTGGATCAACTCTGGAACTTTCACATTATCAGTCTAAAAATTCCATTTCGTTCAACAATGCTAATTGTTGTTTTCATTGTTCTCCTTTTGGAAGAGATTTCATGTGGAATGAACTAACAGGCACTATACCGAAGGAGATAGGAAATATTGCATCTTTAAAACTCCTGTAAGTTTACTTCACAAAAATTTATCTTTGTACTTTTTGTTCATATATTTTACTGCATTTTCCTTACTGAAATATAAAGGAATGAATTATGTATGCACCAAGTAGTCTACAGATATCTCCTAAAAAATGGATTTAAAGTAATTTGTACGAATTCTACAGGGTCCTGACCTCTGCTATTCTCGTTTTGCCAAAAACATGTTACTGACAAATATTATCACCAAGTTCCTGTATTGGAATTGGTATACTACAATGGGGATACACTAGATCTAAGTTTTCATTGATGTTTGCTGCATTCAGGTATTTGTGAGACTTTACAAAAAGACACATAATATTAAATATTCTGGAATAAATTGACTGGATGTTTATGATGATACAAAATTAACTCGAACGATTTTTTGGTGTAGATTGCATTTGAAATTTGCAAAAGCTGTTGTTTAACTACAATATACTCTGCTATATTAATCATATGTGCTGCATTGTTTGCCCAGGCTTTTGAATGGGAACAGATTATCAGGCTCATTACCTGATGAGCTTGGGTATCTCTCAAATTTAAACAGGCTCCAAGTGGACCAGAACCAGATATCAGGACCTATACCAAAAGCATTTTCAAACTTGAACAGCATTAGACATCTGTGAGTGGGTCTTCAAGCTTCGTATTAATTCATATTGACTAGGAATTTATTGTTTATCTTTGTTATTTATTTGTGGGCGCAACTTCTGCAGCCACTTGAACAATAATTCAATCAGTGGTCATATTCCTTCCGAGCTTTCCAATTTATCTACTATTCTTCATTTGTGAGTTAATCCACAGATTTCTCTCTCTCTCTCCCCCCCTCCCCCCCCCCCCCCCCCACATACACCCTTCCACACTTACACACACAAACACAATGCCTCATTTTTGTACAATTATAAAAAGAAAATTGTATAAAACTTTGCCGATTGGTGATTTGTATGTACTATTAATACTCTTTTTACAGGCTTTTGGATAACAATAACCTATTGGGGTATCTTCCACCAGAGTTTTCGAACTTTCCAGACTTGCGCATACTGTGAGTTCCTCACTTGGACTCATAGGGATACAATTGTTGAAATTGATTTGCTTATGGCATATGATTTTGGTTCTTACGGGTAGTTTTCGGACATATTTTGTTTTTCTAATGGTGGCATTGGCTTTACGAGTTCAAAGTCTTGGCCAGGACCTGGTCGACTTGGCCTGGTTGAATCTGTCTCACAGGACATAGAGAAAACAGTTATCTTATATGATGTGTTTCGTTTATTTTCTGGATTCAATTTCTTTATTCTTATGACCTCTCCATTCTTCTTTTTGTTTTAGATTTTCCCAGCCTCATATGTGGTGTTGCATTCAATATTATTTAAAACTGAGTTGTTACCCACCAAGGCTTTGTTCTCAAACCTTTAGAGCTACCACTGTAGACTATTTTTTTTCCTCATTCCACTTTCAAATGAGTATGGTGCCATGTCTTTCTTCGCTAACTCTTCCGTTCCCAATTGCACTAGCCATTTCATTTTTTGGTATTTGTTTCATTACACTTTGTACAGCACTTGAAGACAGTGATAGTCTAAATATTCCATACAACATATTGTCAAAAGATGCATGCAAGAAGCATCTTTCATGCTTTGTAAAAGTTTTACGACACTGCATTATTCTCAAAAGTAACGACTATTGAATCTTGTTGGAGGAAAGGATGGATTTTGTTATTGGTGATTGCTCAATATTGCATTTTTGGATTAAGAAGCTTTATCTGCATGACCTTTGCTTAATAACTATATGCCATAACAAACGGAAGTGTGGAAATCTTATTTACTTGTTCATTTGCTGAGATGAGGGGTGTGAAAGCATACGATGTGATTTCTTCCTTCTTATAGGTCATGTGTATTTTCTTTGTGCAAACGAAATCTTTAACTTAATTAGGGGTTTTGAATTTTGTACTTGACATGCATGCCCTTGCGACTACGTAAGTGTGTTGTTGGCCTCTGTCTCAGTTGTGGCATTGCTATAATATTGATGCCTACATTTGATTTATTTTATAGCATTTTCCTTGTGCCCTCTGTTATTTCCCTAAAAGGAGCCTCATGGATCACATTTTACAAAGGCCTTTGCTTTTGCTTGACTGCTGCCATCTTCTTTGCAGCATTGTAGTGCGGTTGCATGCAGAGTTTTTTTTTCCTTGACCGAACTATCTGTTAGTGTTCTTTATTTCTTATTGCAGTCAACTTGATAACAACAATTTTATTGGTGCTGAAATTCCAGCTTCTTATGGAAACTTGTCAAGATTAGCGAAATTGTAAGCACCATTTGTAAACTCTCTGCCCCTTATTACTGATTTTTATTGTATCTTCTTCAGGAATGTGCATTGCTTATGAGGCCTGGCTGGCATCTTTAGTCTGTTTTAGACTAGTAGCATATGGCATAATTTAGCTGTTGGAGACTTGGGGTGCTATAGGGTAGTAGTTTTAAGATGTGAAAATTGGATATTATCTGATGTACAAATTTTTGACCCATTATGTTCGGCTTCTTACTTCTAGGACTCCTAGAATCTTCTGAGGATCACTAATTATTGCGAATCACCCAAAGTCTCTAATGCATCACATTGTTTTTATTTTTTTTTTCTCTTTCCCTTTTTTTTTTGTTGTGGGTGGGAGGAGGGGGCATGTTGTAAATGTTCTTCAAAACCAAATTTTTTACCTGAGAGCAAATTTAGAATCTTAGTTGCACACTACGTGACTTGGGTTAATCTTTGACCAAAAGTTAATGTTACCGGAATCCTTATTCGCTCTGTGTGTGTGTGTGTTACCAACACCTTCTTACCAATTCTATGCTTACATGATTTTCACTCGAAATTTCTTGCTCCATGCATTAATTACGGTGTTCCATCATGTGCAACACAATGATCCTTAATTTTTGTAGACCAAATTGATTATAGAAATAAGGAACATTAAGAAAATTCATGAGCTACTATTTCAGTTCTTGAGTAATTGCAAAATCGTTCACAATTGAATGTATGGTGAGGGTACATTTTGGTCTGCACAAATGTTATCAAATACTACTGAAAAGATATAATAATGGCACTGGTCAAAGCATTAGAAATACACAACTACAAACCCATAGACTAGAAGTTTTCATTTCTATATGGATTAATTGTGTACTTGATTGTTTTCTGTCATGAAGTGCCATCCTTAACAAGATGTACTCTCTACCCCTGGAACGCTTATACTATTTGTTTCTGACATGGCAGAAGTCTCAGAAATTGCAGCTTGCAAGGAGCTATCCCTGATCTCAGCAGCATACCCAACCTTAGTTATATGTAAGATCAAATTTAAACTCCCTTGAAGTTTTCTAATATCTACCTCTTTCATCATTTATTCTTGTCACTGCAATGCAGTTACTTCCCTTGTGTTTCTTTGGCTGGTAGTTATGGTATCTAACAGGTTTACTTGGTTACTTATGTAGAGATCTCAGCAGGAATCAGCTTACTGGTTCTATACCATCAAAGAAGCTTTCCTACAGTATGACGACTATGTGTGTATATTGCATGACTTTACTATTGTTTTTTTCTTGCTACACCTATTAGGAAATTAATATAATGGGAAGTATGAAATAGATTTTTTTTTTTTTGCCAATCGTTATTTTTGCAGTTATTTGTCACATAACCACCTTAATGGATCCATTCCAGGAAGTTTCTCACTTCTTCCATCTCTCCAGAAACTGTGAGGATCTATTCACTTGTTTGCAATTTCTGTTTCCTTTTACACAAGTAATTTTTAAGGGCTATGTTGAATAAATGCTCTTAGCAATTAGGTAATGTGTGCTCTGTGAACTCCATTGATGTTGACAATACTCCTTTAGATTAGCAGATTATAATGGGCTATAATTTCCAATGCTATTCCTCTGCTTAATAAGATGGAATAAATGATTATTTATTGCAGGTCACTTGAGAATAATCTTTTGAGTGGTTCTGTTGATGCTAGCATCTGGCAGAACAAGTCCTTCAGTTCAACTGCTAGACTAATCCTGTAAGACTGGAAAGCAGAACACTAATATCACTTGTGTTTGTTTTTAGAATGAACTTTCATTGATTAGTCTATCTGGAAAATATGTCTTGCTAATTCTCTCTGCCATGCACATTGTAAATGCAGCGATCTTCGGAATAATTCCCTTTCAAACATTTCAGGAGATCTTGATCCTCCCGTAAATGTTAGCTTAAGGTATGATTGTTTTCCAATTCCCTTTTTGTGGAACAAGAAAAAGTAACTAACTAACAATGGACTCCATGTACTTCTGTTTATAGTTTTATCAGAACTCTTGTGTCAGCTTTTAGAATTGGAGTGGGAATGGTATCATCTTATGTTCTAATATTTTAGAATTTATGTGCACCTGGGCATATTACTCTCCTTTTCGAATTCTTAATTATGTGCAAATTTATGTCATTTCAAGATTTATGAATTTTTCTCTACGTGAGGCGATTGTTTCCAGGAATCCTCAAACCCATTACTATGGCACTTCGACACAGTAAATAAAGCATGGTTTTGACGAGATAAATCTTGGATATTTTTTCCGGATACATTTGATATTGACAATCAATTTTGCACATTAGTTTTAACAATTAGTGCCTGTGGACCACAATCTCAGCTCTCATTTGCCTAAAAAGGTATGTATGGAGCTATCGAGACACTCACTTGATTTATTAGTAGATTGTAGTTTCAATGGGGTTTATGCCTCAATACAGAAATATTAATGAAAATATTTAACTCTTCAGCAGAGGCTGCAACCACATAGCAATGGAAATTTATGGGTTATTTTTCCACAGTTCCATTATATCTTTTTTCCTGGCAAAACTTTCAACTTTGTATTTCATGCTTTCTTGTGCCAGTTATAACTGTCTCTATCTAAAATCGGATATGGGGCGTTAACGCTTGTTCTTCAGTGAGCTGTATGCTGGAAAGGGTCAACCCTCTGGAATTTTGAAAAACAATTTGGCCAATTTGTTATCAAACCCAATTAAGTGTATAAAGATCAAAAGATGGGTAGTCTACTCAAATATTTAAAGGGTTTAGGAGTTCCAAGAAATTTTCAACCAAAGTTACAACATGAAATAATTTTTTTTTTGTTAAGATACCAATCATAGCTTCCAAACTCTTTTGGAATTAGGACCCCCAAAAAATCCTTAACGGACCTTTGGTCCAATGGTACTCCTTGCAAGGTTTTGTCTTCTTGAAGTCAAGAGTTCAAGCCCCCTTCAAAAAAAAAACTAAACTGTGCTGTGAGAGACTGAGAGAATGGGGAAAAAAATAAGAGGGGAAGGACTAGGAGACATTGCAGAATGATTTTATTTTATTTTTTGAACTTGGTCTTTCTTTCTGAGTTTTACTGTGTCTTTTTTCACTTGGCATAATTTTAACTGGATTGCTATCCCAACCCTTCACTTTCCTTTACCATCTGAGCTGGAGCCATCAAAAGGTTTTCCATTTTCCCTTCTAACATTGACCCCTGGACGAACTTGCTAGCTTGTGCCCTGCTTTTGTGCCATGTATTTCTCCTAAATGTTTGTCATAGCACCCACTTTTGTATTTGATGTACTGTGGAAGCTTTAGGACTTGAGACAGATGTTGATTGTTTTTCTTCACTTGATTCACTTCTTCCCAATTTACATAGTTATGAGGAAACCAATGAGTAGATGGTAATAAATGACTTATTTATCTTGATTTTTCTGGCACTGCAGCTATCAATTTAGCATAATTTTTGTGTCACTGCACTTACAATTTTAGCAGCTGTTGTTCAGACTTCAGGGAAATCCTATCTGCGGCAATGCAAATGGAGGAAACATTGGCCAATTCTGTGGACTAGAAGCTGGAGGGGATGACATGCCTTACAACTTAACAAATTCAACTGTGATATGCCCTATTCAAGCATGCCCTGTAGATAACCATTTTGAATATGTAACAGCATCACCTGTGCCATGCTTTTGTGCATCACCTCTTAGAATTGGCTATCGGCTGAAGAGTCCTAGTTTCTCTTACTTCCCTCCATATATGTATCAATTCAAGATGTACCTGACTAGTTCTCTTAATTTAGACCTTTATCAACTATCTATCGACTCATTTGTCTGGGAGAAAGGACCTCGTCTGAGAATGTATCTGAAGCTTTTTCCTATGGCTGGTGTTGAACATTCAAATACATTTAATGAAAGTGAGATTCTGCGTATTAGAGGCATTTTCACATCATGGGCATTTACTGGTAGTGACTTGTTTGGACCTTACGAGCTTCTCAACTTCACTCTTCTGGGACCTTATTCATATGGTAAGCATTCAAGCCTTTATCTGTCTCTGGGCCACATTGCGTTCCGAGAAACATTTGTGATGATTCTGAAATCACAATTCTTTATATTACCGTCATAAATCACAATATATTCCCTAGATAAAGGTGAATGTCGGAAAAGGCTTTATGTAGCCATAGCAAGTAGTTGGTAACCTTGAGAATAGTGCAGACTGGAAAAGTTCACATTGTCTGATTAGTGTTGGAAGCATCTCTCTTGTTTTGGGGATAAAGGCCATGACGGTTTTATCTTTTAAAAACCAAATTTCCATCATGCTACTAAATGATTTCTAGTGAAATGTTACCTGAATAGTGAGTCGATTTAGTATGTGATACAAGAACCCTTGTCCGGATAGTCTTCTAGTTTTATACGAAAGTTTATATACTCATACAAGCATACACACATAGTCAGTTAATGTTTGTTTTATATTTGTGATAGGTTTCACTATTATATCAGAATTTATGTATAATTATCCATCCCTACAGGTAGATAATATTTATTTTATATTTGTGATAGAGTTCCAAAGTGAGCTGACTTGGGAGTAGAGGTACAATTTGGAATCATAAATTTGCGCAATCCAGATGGTGAGTCGTCGTGGTTGAGCAACTTTAACTGGCCGTATGGAAAATGTTGAGGGTTTTGGTTCTAGAAACTCTTAAATTTTACTCTTGCAAAACAAAACAGCACACTCATAAATCCCATACTGTTTGTCATGGCATACTTATGGGACCCAAGTTTAAATTAAAGAATTGGAAGAAAGGAGAATAGAAACACGTAGAGAAATGATGCGTGCACAGAAATCTGTGTGGAGATTGTATCTCAAATGTACATCAACATATATGCACTTGAGAGGGATAGAGACGTAGATTCGTTAAAATGTTCCTACAGAGGGAACATAAACCTCTCCCTGAAGATAGTGCATGTGTATCGGTGTGAAATGCTTGATGTGCATCAGCAGTTAATGTGGAGATGAAAGGAAACAAGAAACCAAATAGTTACATGGATCCTAAATTTTGTCATTGATCCCTTGAAATTTTCTTCAGTTGTGCAAAGTTAAGTTTACATGTGTTTTAAGTTCCATGTACAATGTCTGGTGTGTTCACTCCTCTTGCATAGGACATGCCTGATTGGACACAGTGAGAGTGCTTGCTTGCTTGAGGTCTTAAATGTACTAAGCAGGCACCTTAGGCCAACCTGGTTTGGCAAGGTTATACAAGAAACAGGTCCATATGTCGTGGTTATTATTTTCTAGGCAAGGAAATTTCATGTCATTGTATGACATACAAATACATTATTATGTCTCATATACTTTTATTAGTTTTAAACTAAACAATACCGGATAAACTATTTCTTTTAACTTTGGCTACTTTTCTTGAAGATGTAGCGTTTGTTTGCCTTAATATTTGGGTTGTTTTTCTTGGACATGCAACCTAATGAGGTTTTAATGCTGATGCAGAGAATTTTGATGGTCGAGGTAAAACTGTAAGCAAGGGCATTTTGATAGCTATTGTATTAGCAGCAGTTGCCTGTGCTGTGACAATTTCTGCTATAGTGACAGTTCTGATTACACGAAGGCATGCTAGATACCTGCAGAAACTGTCAAGAAGACACCATTGTGAGTTCTTTGATGAACTTTGGTTCTTTCTGTTAAATTATTGCCAGACTCCTCCTGTGGAAATTATATGAAGTCCATGTTACGCATTGCAGCTTCAAAGACTTCTATAAAAATTGATGGAGTGAAAACCTTCACCTGTAAGGAAATGGCAGCGGCAACTGACGATTTCAGCAGCTCAACTCAAGTTGGCCAAGGCGGTTATGGGAAGGTTTACAGAGGGATTCTACCTGACAAGACAATTGTAGCCATAAAGCGTGCAAAAGAAGGATCCTTACAGGGTCAAAAGGAATTCATGACAGAAATAGAAATGTTGTCCAGGTTACATCACAGAAACCTCGTTTCGTTGGTGGGTTACTGTGACGAAGAAGTGGAGCAGGTATGTTATATCAGGCAAGCCCATCGTCAGAAATTCTTAATTTGCATTGTTTGGTCTAATCATATACGTTACATATACCATCTTTTAAATGCCGATTGATTTTGGATAAGGATGAAAGTCCACTGGAAGCATGTGTTTTCGATAGTCACTTTTCCAATTCTACTTACACTACATTACATTACACCTTTTCTCACTCCTGTTTACGAGACAAGCGTTATTTTTAAGGCATCTCTACATGGAAATAGGAATCGTCTTGCTTTAGTTTCTTAGGCTAAGATGACAACATGAGTAAACAATGCAACCATGTGGAGTTTTCTTGACATGTTTTTCAACTCTATGTCAAGTGAGTGTGAATTGTGAAGCAGGCATTCCTCATGTTTTTCAACTCAAGTGTGTGAACGGACTCATTCTTCCTCAACAGTGTCACTTATAATTGCCATTCAGAAAAGGGAGATAAAGTCAATAAAACAAGCAAGGAAAATATGGTAATTTTCCAAAAGGAAAAATGCTGGATCAACTAATTTGGTTACAACTCAAGATATTTTCTTGAAATTGGTTGATTAAGAAAACAGAGTTGCACTTCCACCAGAGGCTCCCTAAAGTTGTCATGCATGTAGTTAATGTTCTTGAGTCTTCCTGTATACAAGCTAGTACAATTGAGGATCAAAATTTCGTTCCCTTTCCACCAAAACTACTGTCCATGGAAAGCGAAACATTTTGGTTTCCATGGAAACCAGTACGAAACGGGGAGTGAACATTGATATTACCATATTTTGAGATGTTTTGGGATGTTTCGCCAAATGTTTTGAAGATGAATTTTCAATTTTTGTCTCTGTTTCTATTATGTTTCCAAAACTTTTCCAAAGCATTCCTTTTTCGAGTGACTGAAACTATGCACTGAAACAAAATTTTTATTTTTGGGTACAATTGAATCTTGCAAAAGCATACTTGTCCATTAAGCATCTATTGAAGACTGACATTAAAAAGAAGAATAAGAAGAGCAAGATTGAAGTAACATGGCTGCTCTCTCTCTCTCTCTCTCTCTCAGTCCATGAAGTTGTATTATTGTCATGCAGTTTGGTGTTCAAACATGTGAGGATTTATTCCATTGATATATGAGTATTTTCTTGGTGCATGTGCAGATGCTGGTTTATGAGTTCATGCCTAATGGCACATTGCAAGACTGGCTTTCGGGTGGGTAAATTGTAAGGTTTTACATAATTTCTGCTGCTTAGTTCTTTATTTTTCCCCCAGGGGAGGGGGAAAAAGTAGGGAACTGGATATTTGATGTTTTACTTCATGATATTAGGATGACTGTATGTCATTCTTCAATTGGTCTAGTATGAATGCCTGTACAGGTGGAAATATAATTGTTATGATATTTTGCATAACTATATGGTGGACTATTCTTGTCGATGGAAAGATAATTATTACAACATTTTGCATTACTACATGGTGAACTATTCTTGTAGACTATCTTACAGCTTATTTATTAATCTCTAATCTCATGTGATCTTTTTTTATCCCTATAAATTTATTGATTCTAAATTTTTTAATCATTATCTAAATGTCATTCTCAGTGATTGATTTCAGCGTTCAGCTGATTATTGTGTGGTCCAATGGTACTCCTAGACTTGCAAAGGCTTTAGGTCAATGGTTTAAGTTCCCCCCTCCCCCTCCCAAAAAAAAAAAAGGAAGGCATTAACTTGGATTAAACATCTTCTATGTTTTTCTTATTTTGTAGACAAATTGATTCTGGTTCTTCCCTTTGGAGTCTAAGGATCTCACTGGAGCTTTCAATTTCAAGAACTGTTACACTTTAATCCTCAATTCACTAGTGTCCTTAGTTTTTCCAGTTGAATTGCATCAACTTCTTGGTGTACGCAAGTTTTTTCAACTTCCATAACTATGATACTTTAATCCCAAAATCATTCACTCACATGTTATCCATCAACTTTCAAAATGCTCCTTCCACATGTTACATTTTCCAGTCCAATTGCTTCGACTTCTTGGCTTGCATAATGTTCATGGTGCTGATTGTCTGAAAGTTGGTTTCTGTGATTTGACAGCTAAATCTAAAGAAACACTGAACTTTGGAGTGAGGTTACATATTGCACTGGGTTCAGCGAAGGGCATTCTTTACCTCCATTCTGAAGCACATCCACCCATATTCCACAGAGACATCAAAGCCAGCAACATTCTTCTGGACTCCAAACTGTCTGCTAAAGTTGCTGATTTTGGACTCTCACGGCTTGCTCCTGTGATGGATGATGACGGGACTGTGCCTAATCATGTATCGACAATTGTGAAGGGGACACCAGTAAGTCTGACCCTGCTAATTGTTAAGCGATGCACACTGGATCCTATGGGGAAATAAATTGCACAAACTTCATTTTCTTGGGACAATTCATGACAAGAAACTCCCATAGAAGAAACCAATTGATTACAATATGAATAGCAAAGGTCTTTGTGTTTCGCCTATGAAACTATCTTAATGTATGATTGTGCATGCAGGGTTACCTCGATCCTGAATACTTCCTGACTCGTAAGTTGACAGACAAAAGTGATGTCTACAGCCTTGGAGTAGTATTTTTGGAGATCTTGACAGGCATGCAACCAATATCACATGGCAAAAATATAGTCCGTGAGGTACTATCTTATGTTAAATTTCTATATTTAGGGCCTTACTGATCTGCTAAATATGGGCCTAGTTCTGATGCCACGCATTTGCAGGGTGTAAATGTGGTGCAATTGTGGCCAGTCTTTTATTATAGTCCAACAACAGCTAATTGTTGCCTCTGGAATCCGTAGAATTTCTTAGCCGAGGCTGAAAAAAAAAAAATGATACTTCATTCTGCATCAGTAAAAGATACCAAGTCCACGACTTTGTTTCGAGGGATATTCCTGCATTTAGGACTTGGACTTAGTAAATGACTTTGATTTATGTTTTAGATATCTAAGAGAAAATAAAGATTAGGATCTGAATGTTTTCAATTGTCAGGTGAATTTGGCGCATCAGTTGGGCACAATGTTCTCTGTCATAGACAGCAGAATGGGTTCGTACCCCTCAGAATGTGTAGAAAGGTTTGTAGCTTTGGCACTCAGGTGTTGCCACGACAAGCCAGAAGAGAGGCCATCAATGCTGGATGTGGTCAGGGAGCTAGAAAGCATCCTCCGCATGATGCCGGAAACTGGAATTGACTTGTTAGAATCAAAATCCAGATATTTCACCGATGATGCTGCATCATCGTCTTCACTAGCCTATGCAAGTAGGGACCCATATGTATCAACAGATGTGTTCGGAAGCAACCTTATTAGTGGTGTCAGTCCCACCATCACACCTCGCTGATAACCCGAGAAATCATATATATATATATATATATATATACACATACATGAAAAAGGAAAACCAATAGGAATATTCTCATGTGCATTTGGAAAGTTTAATGAGTTTTGTTATTTACTTCCAAGGTAACTTGTGGGCGTAAGAGGAAACTGATGTATATTAGCCATTGTATGCTTCTCTTTGTTGTTGGAGCATGGAAGACATGATTCATGTTAAAAGAGTTTTGTTTTGAACCAGCAATGAAAATCATGCCTTTCTTTTTACTTTTTTTTTCATCCTAACATTGAAAATAAATAGAGGAAGGGGGCTTTTGTTCACGCATTGGACACGTGTACTTGATTGACACCGTTCATTCATATCATGTAACAGATCTACTCTTTTTGATTATCGCCTACGTACTAATTAACATACAAGTAACTTCAATACAGACACCGCACATGTTCTTGCTGGCTGGCTGGAACAGCAACAGAAAAAACAATAACACACTTTCTAGTCTCATGGCGAACTTCAATATAACTAGCATCCCATCCCACCCCACCCCATCGATTGGATTTCAGGATTTACATTTGCTTTCTGTTGCCTTTGAATCAAATATGTTGCTTGAAACCTGCTTGGGATTTAAAGTTTTGGCAAGCTAAATTTCCAACCCCCCATAACCTTTGCAAGCTCCCCTCCCTTTGATGCAAAATATTAAATGTGTAGCTTCTTTCTGCTTTTCCCTCTCGTCTATCCAAACCTTTTAGAGAGGCTAGAACATCGGACTAATGCAGGGAGAAAGGAAATAGATCACACATAAGAATGTGGACTGATTCCAGAAAAGTGCAGGTTAAGCTGATATGGGGACAAGAGAGATCATACTAAGCAATAATGAAAAACATGGTCCATGTTTCACACTTCCAAGCAGGACCTTAGGTTTGACAAATTTAGCACAAATGCAAAATAATGTTTGTTTCCCAGTCAATATATGAGTGGATATGTAGGGGGTTTCTACAGGACTAGTTATCTAAACCAAGCATGCACAACAAGGCTAGAAAACTTTAAAAATGCAGCTGCCATGTGAACTGTGGCATAGCTACTGCATTATTGAGACCTCAAAAATCATGTTTCATAAATAAAAGCGGAGAAAAAGCTTAATATCAGTAGGTACAAGTCGGTCAAAACCAAATGCAAGACAGTAATTCATGGTTGAGGGTCAATGTCAATGACCAAGTTCCAAGTAGAAGTTCCGTGACCTGGCATCGGTTGAATAAACAAAAACAACATTTGCTTTATTTTTTAGATAAGAAAGCAGAAACCAGGGAGGGGGGGCATCCATTAAAAAAAAAGAAAAAGAAAAGCCAATTAGACCAGCCAAATTACTTGGAAGTGGACTCGTTGCTTGATAAATCCTCTCTATCATCTATCAACTTGGTCTCAGCAGCTGATCCCTCATCAACAGTAATCGTCTTCCCCCCGTCAACGCTCTGTGATCCTGTCAATCTTGCCAGTATAACAAATGACATTCCTCCGAGAATATTATTCAGGCATCTCAAAACAATCACAGAAGTCTTAAACACTAAGGGTGTAACTCCTTTGGCTAGCAAAAATTCAATCCCGTTGAGAGTTTGGTATCTAAAATTACTGCTAACACCCATGTGAATCGCCCAAGTTGCAGCATTCAGAACAGTTGGTGGAGGCTTGTTTGGAGTCTCAAAATTGGGATCCATCTTCTTTCTCATCTTCATTAACCCGTTTGAGATAGCGGTTCCAACTAATCCAGCTGCAAAACCAACCGCAGCAAAAAGAGTTCCTTTGTACACAAATGTCCCAACACGGTTGAAAAGAGAATAGGGTCCAGGCTCAAACATGTGGCTTGTAGGACAATTTGCGAAAATTGAAGGGAGGTTCTGAGCTGAAGAAGACATTGTGGGTGCTAACAGATACATTAGCACAAAATTCAGAATTGATCCGACAACAAGGGTTGAGAAAACAAAGTCAAGCTCATTTAGCCCAAAATTAGGACGAGACGCCATGTCTCCCAGAACACACGAGCTTACACCAACTAATTCTTCCATTAGAACCTTGAAAGGGAACTGGGAATCTGCAGCAACTCGCGATCTCCAACCATTAAGAAAAGCCCCTATAGGTCCAAGACCATCCCACGAAGATGCTGAATCTTCGGAATCTCCACCTCCACCTCCACTGCTCCAACCACCATCACCGCCACCGCTTCCACGTCCCACTCCACTGTCGCCACTGGCCCCGCCGCCGGCACACGTAAGTTGGGGTTTGACAAGCAAACTGGGGTTGAAATGTTTTGGGTGGAGAGGACTAATGGAGAGTTTTTGAGTAGGTGAAGGTGATGATGAATATGGAAAGGTAACATCAGCAAATTCCATTGTTTGGCTACGAATTCGAGGAATGTGGGTGAGATGGTGGTAGTGCCCGGCAAGAGGAGAGTGACGGAGGTGAGCTATACTCGCCATATTTCCTATGTGAGCTAGCCCACAAAAGAGAGAGAGAGAGCGAGAGACTTCTTCCCTTGCGATTTTTATGGCAATCAAATCGGCATAAGCCCAAAAACAAAAACAAAAACAAAAAACAAACTTAAATGGTGCAAAAAGTTTTAAGCAGACTGATTATATATATATATATATATATTATAAAGAAGCAGAGATCTGGGATCGTTGTCGTTTCATAACATCGTATCGTATATTCATAAGAGAACAGCAAAAAGGGATGTGGGAGTGCAGTGAATGGGGAAAGAAGGAAGTATCAGATCTAAAAGCTAATGGGAGAAGCAATCTATTTTACCTTGAATTGGATTCACGATAACAGATTGAATGATGCTTGGCGATTACTACTTGCTGAAGCTTTGCCCAATTCAATTGATACCTGGATTATAATCGGACAGCAACGGGACGCATATTGAACCAAGATGAACAAAGGCGGACTGCGAGTCTAGATTCCTAATAAAATTCAAAAAGAGTCTATAAAAAGTAAAACCCTAGTCGGGTCGGATCCATTCCGAGCTTTCTGAGATTAAATTGGGTTTGTTAAGCCTATTTTTTTTAAATAAGTTAAAAAAATTATTCAATTATTTTACATATATAAACAAAGTGAATTATGAATTCGAATAGAATATTTTAAAATCGTTTTTTTAAATAAATTTAAAAAATTATTTAAATTCGCCCGTTTAAAATATAAGTCAAATTTAAAGTGCTCAATTATTAGTGTTATAGAACGCTCTTTTACCTAGAACACTCGTTTAGCTGCAGAGAGAGAGAGAGAGAGAGAGAGAGAGAAAAAGAAAGAAAGAAAGAGAAGGAGAAAATAATTGGTAATGACTGCGAATAGGAGGCGTTCTCCAGATGACGCACATGTGTGGCAACCACAACTCTATTTTGTCTCAAAGTCTAGACTCGTGGGTTGCGGCTGGACCCAACTGAAATGAGAAACAGACTAGTCCATAAAATGAAGTGAAAATTGTGAATAACTACACATATGTTACTTAATTGCGAAAAGGTATCGTATAAATTCTCTTTTGTGTATAAGTTTTTTTGTTTGGGAATGTTTTGTGAGTAGATATACATTGATTGTTTTTTAAATATTTCATTTATATAAATGTTCTTGTTCATTAATCATTGACAATTTTTTAGGCATTAAATTATGGGATTCAATTTCTTATTTCAGTGAGACAATTAGACAATTTTTTAAGGGTTTAATTGTGAAATTCAATTTTCTATTTCAATTGGATAATTTTTTAGTTAGTTAATTGTGGAATTCAATTTTCTATTTCAATGGGACAACATGTCTGAATTTTGAACTGTATTTTATTCTTTCATTCAATGACTGATGTTCTAAAAAATTTGTCAGACCCTATACATGATGTGTATATACGGTGTGACATTGAAGTCACACTATGATGCTACACTTTTTTTGAGCCTTACATATGAATGTGTGTATACAATATTAAATCCTATATATGGATGTGTATATATATAATATGAAATTGATGTCATATTGTGATGCCCATAATGTATCAAACCCTACATATGAATGTGTATATGCAGTGTGATATTTGTTGTCACACCAACGTTGCTTTGCCATAGTGTGACAAAGTATGTGACTGCTGAGAGAACTTTTTTTTGGGTAGATATTGAGTTTTATTTCAATTTCAAATTTTCTCCTTAAATCATGCGATCTCCGGCCGCCAATGTTAGAAATGTGTGAACTTTTGCTACCTCTTCCCCTTCTTCTTGTTAGTTTCCTTATATGGGTGAAAACCTCTTCAACTTCAAAAAGGAGAATTTTGGACTTTAGTTATAGTGGATGGGCTTTTTAACAAATATTTTTTAAAAGTGTACTTTTTTTCTAATAATTTTAATATTATGTATTAGCCCCCTGTTTTTCCTAAAATGAATTAAGGCCCAAAACCAATTGACATAAATAAATGGAGAAAATTTTTGAAACCTACAAAGTTAGTATCTAATTTGTAAATAAGTCTAGGCTTGGACTTTTTAAGGTCTAACTTTTAAGGTGAGAAGTACAAATTAGTTTTTCTCCTTTTTTAATATGACAATATTACCCTTATGTCTTCTACTTTACCCAACTAAGAGCCATCAAAGTAGTTTTACAGTCTCTCTCTCATTCACACGATTCAGTCTGAGTTTGAGTCCAAAGACTCCAAAACCTAGTCATCACTACCACCACGACAATCTCTCTCTTTCCCAAATTACCCTCTTATCTTTCTCCCCTAAATTATTTATCGATTCAGCATCTAATTCTATGAGATAAGCTACGAAGTTCTTTGGTGTCGTTGACATGAAATCCAGATTGACGAGGAGGACACCGGAGAGATTGGATCTGTCTCAACTTTCACAAACTATTTACTTTTGAGTCAATTGACTCCATTAAATATCAACATTCCTAAGAGTGCGTTTATGATGACTTATAAAATTTCATAAATATTTTTTCAATAATTATTTATCAAAAGTGTTTTATAAGAAAAAATATTTTAATTAAATAAATATTGTTTGAATATTTAAAATCAAAATGTTTAAATTAAAGTAGAACAACATAAAAGAACAAGGATTTAGAAGTGTCATACGGTGAGAAGCAGAGTTACAGCCATTATAATTTCGTTCTTCGACATGGGCCCCTTTTCTGGCCAGCTTTGGGGCATCCGGACTGCTCTTCACCTCCGGCAGATAAACCACATACAAAAGCAAAGGTACCACAATCAAAGACACCAACCAGGCACAAATGCAGCCTTTGCCCAACCCATCCACCCAATTGTCTTATTTATTGTATTCGTCTTCAAATTCGCGCTCAATAGATTGGCAGCCATTACCCTCAAGAACATCGCCGACAAAATCACCGATGTCTGGAAGCAAGTCAACATCAATCACGATCCCAACTTGGTCTCAGTCCCATCACCAGCATTACTACCACAAGCCACAGACAAAGACTTCACCTATAGTAAAAAAATGCCTTCAGCTCTAGCTGGCACCGAAGGTATCGCCGGAGCCAATGGGCCTCGCTGAAAACTAAACTATACCCCAACCCTAACGATGAACTACCAAATAATGACACAAATTGATACGCAATTCTGTTTTCAAGCCCAGTCTTAATAAATCCTCGGGCGAAGGAAAACGCGAGGGCGATAAGCCAAGGGATCGGATCTCCAAACGTCGAGAATGCGGCTACAAAGGTCAATGTCTTGGTCAACACACAAGCTCCTAATCCCATCAACGCCACGAAGCCGAGGGGCAAAGGTTGGGTTGCTGATCGTGTAAAACAAAAAAAGTGTTTTATATTAAAAAAAGAAAAAGTAATTTTTTTAGTTCTTACTTTTTAACTTATTTAAATGTTAAAATTATTTTTACTTATTTAAAAATATTTTTAAGAAGTTATCTCAAAACCTACTTTTTTTTAAAAAAAAAAAGACTTATAATAGATCAAAAACTGTAAAAATACTTAAAATAAATCATTCCAAACACAGTCTAAATCAAGGATATAACTGCACAGAGGATTGTAGAAGGTAACAGTAATATACCACATTAATTTTAAGTATTAGAGCAGATTTTTTTTTTTTTTTGAACTGGTAGAGCAGATTAATTAGCAAAGCTTTTCAACAAGTGTAATGTAAACATTTGCTCAATCTCAAAGGTACTGTTACTCGAAAAGCAGTGCAAGGTCTAATCAACACAACCAGCCCCTCAACAGAACACGGATTGCCATCCAAAAGTTCTAAGTATTACACAATATGCTGCCTCTGAGCAAATATTCAACTGCCTGGAGATTCACGGGAACAAATCCAAACTCGGTCAAACCTCTCTCAATGGGTTTTGGAGTTTCATTTCCAATTTCTAGTGGAATAATGAATACAATGGACACAAAGTCGTGGGACAAAAAAAATACCTACAAAATTCAAACCACTTGCTCAACGCCTCTCATGCTGGCACCAATTATAAAATATTCCACACTACTCCATTGTCACCAATACAAGAATAAATCCAATGAATGAAGTTTACAGAAATTAAAATCACCATACCTAAGTCAAAAGCCAAAACTATATAAAAACACCCCCCCCCCTTTCCTTTTTCTTCTTTGTTTCTGTACTCTTCAATAAAATAAAAGAAAACCCAACCAAAAGCCTCACCCGCAAGACCTGTTAGCCTGTAGTTTCATTTTGGCTCGATAACAAAGAGGTATTAAGGTGTATTGAGAGGTATACTCAGGTATTACTTTCTGAAGCAGAGTAGAAAGTAGAAACCATTGCTTCAAGAGCAATAAATGCAATATGTCTTAACGCCCAGTTTTTGCACGCTTCATTCCACTAGTGTTGAAAGGTGATACACTACCGCTTGGTCCAGGACTGTCTTCTCTGAAACTTGAATTCAGCATAGCTAATTCACGCAACTGCTGTCTCTTAATATAATCTTGTGACTCATCCTGCACACAGAAAAGTATACAAAAAAAAAACAAAAAAAATGAAGCCATGCCATCAATGATATAAATATGGAGCATGGTGACACTGCCAAAAAATGCATATGTTGGAAGAAAAATGGGACAGTTACTTGACTCATTAGGCCCACAATCTTATGTGCCATGTGATCACTGAAACACTAACAAACCCTGAATGTGACCCAAAGGCCATATCAACATAAGGTATTAGAAGCTTCATTAGGAGACATTCTTCTTCAAAAATACTCCAGAATTAGTGCTGAAGACATCAAGGGGAGAGGCTAACTCTGCTGGAGCTTCAGCATACATGCTGCCGTGTTAGCACCACAAGGTATACTAACGAGACTGCCCTACTTCTTCAGGGCTCAGTTTTCACTATATGTTCCTTTTGCATAAGTTGAAAAATATGGTCCATAGGAAAGGAAGAGGGTCACACGATTGCAACATAGGGAATCACATGGAATCTTCAATCCAAAAGCACAACAAATGACTGGGTTTGAGAGTAATACCACAGGTTTAAGCAATTCTTCAATTATTTCCTGCGCCTGTCTTAGCCTGATATCAACAATATTTGCAGGTAAATCAGCCTCAATCAAGATGTGCAGTGGCTCATTCAGGTGTTCATAGCCTGGTCTTCCACATAGCTTCTCTTCCTTGAGATTGAAAAGGCATAAATATTATTAACCTCTTGTATAACAACAATACCTTAACTGGAACTGGATTGATTTTAGGCTCAATTGTCCAGTTGGTTTTCCTTAAACCATTATCAATAGTCATTATATCTTATCAGCAGGAGGAAGAATAAAAAGTTGTATCACCTTGTCTGGGTCCTTTATTGATCCTTTTCCTCTAATATATACACGGCATCCTGTTGTAGCTTCCACCCGTTTCAGTGAATTGCCTCTGGGACCAAGAAGTCGCCCAACAAAATTGAACTAGCATCCAAAGTAAAGTTAACAGCTCAGTTAACATTTTTGTAAACTAAGGAAGTTTTCAGTTTAATAAAATGGAGCATGAATTGGGACTTAATGATACAGACTACAAAATTACAAAGATTATGTATGAAGCTTACATTTGGATAAGTATCTGCTGGAATTTCTAAGCGTAAAATCCTCTTCACTGTGTATGAGCTAGGACTTGCAGGAGCCCCTTGCCAGTCCATTGTCATTCCAAGGGGTCCACTTAATCTCTGCCAAGCAATGAAAAGTTTTGTTGCTTTCCTTTCACTTTCTTAACAGAAATAAAGAAAGAGGGCAAGAAAAGCTGAGGGAAACAAAAACAGAATCGCCATTTCTAACAATTTTATCTAGTGGCAGAGTAGAATAATAATGTTAAAGGTAGCACAACAAATGCAATATTAAACATTCACAAAACGGACTGATAAAGGACTCCAACACCTCTGGCTTGAAAACAGTGACGAGTTGATGACCAATGACAAAGTAAAGATACACACAGCCAAGCAAAGGAAAACAAGTAATTACACAACAACCAAGGATCAAAATGTCGTGTCGACACGTCCGAAACGTCCGAAACGTTTCGGAATTTCAACACTCCGAAACGAAACAGTAGTTGAATCACAAAATTCCAGTGTTTCGGTCGAAACGGTACTGTTTCGGACCGTTTCGGTCGAAACGGCATTGTTTCGAACCGTTTCGACAAAACAGTGATATATTCGGTTCATTATGAATAATTACATTTAATACCCCATTATAATTACATTTAATACCCACTGTAATTACATTTAATACTCACTATAATTATATTTAATATCCCACTATAATTACATTTAATTCCCACTGCTCTTCTGTCTTTTATAATTTTTTTGTTATAAGAATAAATAATTACACTTAATACCCTACTATAATTATATTTAATACCCATTATAATTATATTTAATACATACTGTAATTATATTTAATACCTCACTGCTGTGCAAGTTTTTTGCTTTTTTTTTTTTGTTATAAGTATTAACAATTACATTTAATACCCTAATGTAATTATATTTAATACCTACTGTAATTACATTTAATACCCACTGCAATTACATTTAATTTTTAAGTATACATAAGTATCATTAATTTAATTTGATACCCTTCATTATTAGTATTATAATAAAATAGTATTATTAATTGGATTATATTACCGTAATAATATGATTTGGAGTAACTATTGTCATCATATTTATGTCACATATGGAGTTTCTCTAAGTAGCTACCCAGAGCCTACACCGATGTATGAGCCTGCTCGACACTCCACAGGGGAATGGATGTAACCATGTAAGTATGTACTCATTAGCATTTCATGTGTATTATAAGACCTTAATATTATGTAAAAATGTGTTTATTTCATAAAAATTAAGTGTTTGAAACTAATTGAAGTGACTTTCGCCTCAAGTCAAGCCTTTTTTTCCTTCAAATTTAAATTTATTCTTGTATAAATTGATGTTAACCTAATAAATATGTTGAATTAATAAATTATTTAGCATATCTTTATAAATTAATGGATTGTATTTGTGTTTCTATGCGTTTCCATATTTTTTCTGCGTTTCCATTGCGTTTCGGAAATGTTTCCGAAACGTTTCTATTTTTGAGTTGACCGAAACGGTACTTCGAAACGAAATTTTGATCCTTGACAACAACCTTGTTGCACAGGTCACAACTCAACATCTAGTCAATTTTTACTGTTTCCTTTTGATCTATCAGTTAGCTACAATACGTAAAGCAACTGGTAAAAGGGAAAAAATGACAACCAAATCTCTGTTGTGCTTACACAAAATGCCTGAAAAAATCAAGGTTTCTCAATAATATTAAGTGTTCTTCAACAAGTTTACTTCCCAATTTTCTCAAGGTCACTCGAGTTGCTTGCCAATTTTTTCAAACCTAGTGATTGAGCAAACACACAAAAAAATTGAAGAATTGCTTAAACCTGTGGTATTACTCTCAAACCCAGTCATTTGTCAAACATGTCTATAAAAACCAAGCATTTTGGGCATTTTCTGCCCTAATCTGAGACCTCATCCTCACTCTCACCACCTCAACTCTCCCCTCTCGCAACTCTCTCTCTCTCTCTCTCTCTCTCTCCAGATCTCACACTCACCCATCACCACACCAGAAGCAATTACCTGGTACATTCTCCTCCAGATGCACGACTTCGTTTTTTCGTCTCTTTCTCTCATCCCCATAGTCCTAGTTGGCATGGTGAGACGCTACATGTGTTGTAAGTAAGTTGTTTTATGTTTCCGTGAGTACCTTTCCATGATTCTAGATTTGGTTGTATCTATAAATTTTTTTTACATAAATTTTGATCTGCTATTCGTTGTGACAATTGTAATAATATATGAGTTTGTTTGTCATGTGGCTTCAAGGAATTGTGTTGTTTGTTTCAACTAGGAGGATTATGATTATTGTATATTAACGATATATAGGTATTGCCTTTCATGAATGTGTTCTTTGGGTTTGTAGATTGGTTACGTTCGGGCACCATTCACATATCCATTTAGTTTAGTGACAATGGATGGGTCTTGTGCCAGGTTTAAAAACTATGATAGCACCAGAAGATATTATTTACCAAAAAGAAAAGAAAAGGAAACTAACACTGACTAAAAATTTAATGGCATATATCCATACTTCACAGGGATTGCTGAGGTCCTACTCACCAAGACTAAGAAACTAAGCACATTTTATCTCCAATTCTTACATCGCTAAAGAGGCACTAGATTCAATATGCTTCCAAATAAATGAAAATGGATCTAAACCATGTCGTTCTGCAGACTTGTTATACAGTAACCTTGGAAAGACACGTTGCACCTTTCATTCACGGAAAACACAGAATAAAGATTTGCAATTGGTAAAACATAACAACACATGACTTCCAATTTACAAAGTTCAAGCACGTATGCAATCCCAGTCAAAGAAGCAGTTTAATTTCACAAAAGCCTTGAAGGCTCAACCTTCGACTCAATGTACTGGAGTGTCCTGGAAGAAAATTTTTAAATACTAATCAAGTACAATTAAAGAAAGGTAGAAGGAGGGGAATCCAGCCCTATGTTTTCTTTCATAACAAAATTCTTGGGAATTTAGTGGACAAGGAAACTTGATTCTCTCAGATGCACTACATCTAGAAGCAGCAATTCAGATGACAATGTCTCATACAATCAAAAAGAGAACAAATCAACAAATAGTCTCTAACAAAATATCAAATCAGACATATAATAATTAATTTAGACAATTGCTGAAATTATACAATATAAGTGAAGCACTCTCAAATATATGAGCAATGTACAATATTAATGGGACCCCTCAAAATGCCTGAAATTGTAGTCATAAAAAATTTTAAGTCTAAACTATTTAATGGGACCCCCAAAATGAATCCAAAGATATTCTAGAGAAGCAAAAAAGGGAGTAGAAAGAAGAATTTGTGGCATGTGAGCATTCATTCACAGATATCAGTTTCCGAGTCAATCCAAATGGAGAAAAAAAAATTCTATATCTTAATCGTATCAATACATTTACATATTTCACTGTCTAATCAAGCTAACAGGTCATTTGCCCTCTCCACTCCAACACTCTGGTTAAAATTTAAGTGTCTAATCTAATCAGCTAGCAGGTCATTTGCCCTGTAAACTACAACACTGGTGTTAAAAGATAAGGTTGGACATATGCATTAATCAAGTGTTATTCCATCAGCAGTTGCCCCCAGTGTATGTTCACAACTTCCATCATCCGATAACAACCTCCTTAATCAGTCCAATATAGCACAACCAAGAGCTATCTTCATCAAATTCTCAACAACATTCTTGGGGGACTACTTCCAGAATTCAATGATTTCAGATGTTCCACCAAAATATCAAATAAATGGGACCAGTCACTTGTCCAAGTATCAACTCTAGATTCAACGGAGTTTACACGAGTTCATGAATTAACAAAATGCAAAACGAAAACATTGCCAATCTCTGCAATGCAGAGGCAAGAATTGGTTGGAGTAGCAGTTGCTAAAGCATGTAGAGGCTTATGGACCATTTTGTGACAGGCTTGAACACAATTTCATAATGCTCTAAATAGGACTAAAGAGGTGTGCCACAGGCATCTGTGGCCATAGCTATGGCTACTACTGGTAGAGCTGCACTTCGGGCGGGTCAACCCTAGATATATAATCTTTAACCTTAACCCTAACCCTACCTCAACCCGAGTACTGCCTGAATTTAATTCGAGCAAGCTTTAAATTCAAGTTACTTAATTCAAGCTGATTTCATATTAAAATTTTGGTTGGGCTTGAGTTATTTAATTCAAGTTAATTTTTTGAAGTGTAGATTTGATTTTTTCAAGTGATCTGAGATAAAGGACGAGCCATAGATGAAGAAAGAGGGAGTGAGAGAGGGAGGAGTGATGAGTGAGAGAGGGATCTGGGAGTGATAGAGGCGCACAGGTGAAGACTTGAAGTAAAGTGAAAGTCTGGACTCTGAAGAGTGGAGATAAATACTAACTCTAATTAACTATATTTATGTATATTCGGATTCAATCCGATTTAATAATCGGATTCAACCCGATTTTAATATTTAGGTTGAAATCTGACAACCCGAGGCTTGCCCAAATTTAATTCGGGTTGAAGTTTTTTTGCCCAAACCCAACCGAAGTATTAAAAATTTTAACCCAAGTCCTTTTTTCTAGGTTGGGCTTGGATTGAATTCGTGATGGCCCGCCCAAGTTGCACCCCTAACTACTAGAACCCAACTTGCGGGGTGGGAAATTGGAAATTATCATCCAGTAGGCACGAGAATGTAGCAACCAACGAATGGTTAGAATACATTTAATGGCTCTTGTAAACATAATATAATATTTGTTGGGCTCAAAACACAACCTAACTTTCGTTCATATAACAAGTGTTTAACATACCTCCAACTTGTTCTTAGGTGGCATTGGAAGCACGGGGCATGCTTGCCGTGCGTGATGTCAAAGTCTAAAATCTAAAAAAATTGGGACTTAGAAATTGCTTTAGTGGTGAAATCCTGGTGCCTCCAGGGATATTTTCTCTTTTCAATTGTAACAGTTACATTGGTTATTGTTACCAGAGAATGAAACCTACACTTGGACACTCCAAAAAATTCTAGTGTTGACTGTAATGTAACAGAATAACTCTGCGATATCCTGTTCACGCTTGGTGGAATCACATTCATCTCAAAATTGGAATCCCTTTTCTGGAATTCGTTAGACATAAGCTTTACTTTCCAAATCTGCTTTACATTCAAAATCTAAAAAATGAACGAGTTATGACAACTGACAAGGGACAAGATAAACGAATCTATTACCAAAACACAGTTGTTTTGGAACTTTAATACCAAAATACGGCATTTTTTAACTTATTTACCAAACTACGACACTTTTTAAAAAACGGAGTCAATAATTCCGCTTTTATTAAAAAGCGAATTCAACAACCCTGCTTTTGTTAAAAAACGGAATCAAGTGTTTCAACTGATCTGACTGGAGGAACAGGATACATAGCATCATGGTTGATAATGAGGCTCCTTCAAGATGATTACTCTGTCCATGCTACTGTTAGATTTGATCTAGGTAAAGTTCTTCCTTTTTCTAAAACCAATGATATTTCTTTGTTATGGCATATAAATGAAGTGGTAGCAAATATATTAGGACTATATAGTAGACTGTGGCTTGTCTTATCTGAATTGTGTTGCCACAAAATTTATTCAATTCATACCCAATTCACGATAATCATGTATAATCAGTTTATGGCGTAAATAATCATATATAATATCATTTATAACGTGTATAAAAATGAGTCCCAGTCGATTTATTCATCAAATGGTCCTATCGACCAAGTTGATTAGATTCTAAGAGAACAAGCACAATCTCATGTTTTTTAGCAATTTTTTCATGGTTGCTTGTTAATTTTGCCCATGAAAATTGTTTCAAAAACCTCATGATTTCTGTTTGATGTATGTCCAGAAAGAAAGAAAGATATCAGTTACCTAACAAACCTACCAGGAGCATCAAAGAAGCTCCATATTTTCAATGCAGACCTTGATGAACCTGACAGTTTCAATGCAGCCATTGAAGGGTGCACCGGAGTTTTTCACCTCACCCACCCGGTTGATCTCACCAAAAAAAAATCCGAGGAAGTCGTCACCAAAAGAGTAGTAGAAGGAACCATAGGAATCCTAAAGATTTCCTTGAATTCGAAGATGGCGAAAAGCGTGTTTAGCAGACAGTGGCTTGTCTTATCTGAATTATGTCGCCACAAAATTTATTCAATGCATACCCAATTCACGATAATCATGTATAATCAGTTTATGGCGTAAATAATCATATATAATATCGTTTATATCGTGTATAAAAATGAGTTTCAGTCGATTTATTCATCAAATGGCCCTATCGACCAAGCTGATTAGATCCTAAGAGAACAAGCACAATCTCATGATTTTAGCAATTTTTTCATGGCTGCTTGTTAATTTTGTCTATAAAAGTTGTTCCAAAAACTTTATGATTTATGTTTGATGTATGTCCAGAAGGAAAAAAAAACATCAAGTACCTACAAACCTACCAGGAGCATCAGAGAAGCTCCATATTTTCAATGCAAACCTTGATGAACCTAACAGTTTCACTGCAGCCATTGAAGGGTGCACCGGAGTTTTTCACCTCGCCCACTCGGTTGATCTCACCAGAAAAAAATCCGAGGATGTCGTCACCAAAAGAGTAGTAGAAGGAACCATAGGAATCCTAAAGGCTTCCTTGAATTCGAAGACGGTGAAAAGCGTGTTTAACAGACAGTGGCTTGTCTTATCTGAATTGTGTCGCCACAAATTTATTCAATTCATACTCAATTCACGATAATCGTGTATAATCAGTTTATGGCGTAAATAATCATATACAATATCGTTTATATCGTGTATAAAAATGAGTTTCAGTCGATTTATTCATCAAATAGTCCTATCGACCAAGCTGATTAGATCCTAAGAGAACAAGCACAATCTCATGTTTTTTAGCAATTTTTTCATGGCTGCTTGTTAATTTTGTCATAAAATTGTTCCAAAAACCTCATGATTTCTGTTTGACGTATGTCCAGAAAGAAAAAAAACATCAGTACCTAACAATCCTACCAGGAGCATCAGAAAAGCTCCATATTTTCAATGCAAACCTTGATGAACCAACAGTTTCACTGCAGCCATTGAAGGGTGCACCAGAGTTTTTCACCTCGCCTATCCGGTTGATCTCATCGAAAAAGAATCCGAGGATGTCGTCACCAAAAGAGCAGTAGAAGGAACCATAGGAATCCTAAAGGCTTCTTGAATTCGAAGACGGTGAAAAACGTGTTTAGCAGACAGTGGTTTGTCTTATCTGAATTGTGTCGCCACAAAATTTATTCAATTCATTCCCAATTCACGATAATCGTGTATAATCAGTTTATGACGTAAATAATCATATATAATATCGTTTATATCGTGTATAAAAATGAGTTCCAGTCGATTTATTCATCAAATAGTCCTATCGACCAAGCTAATTAGATCCTACGAGAACAAGCACAATCTCATAGTTTTTAGCAATTTTTTTCATGGCTGCTTGTTAATTTTGTCCATGAAAATTGTTCCAAAAACCTCATGATTTTTGTTTGATGTATGTCCAGAAAGAAAGAAAGACGTCAGCTACCTAACAAACCTACGAGGAGCATCAGAGAACCTCCATATTTTCAATGCAGACCTTGATGAACCAGACAGTTTCAATGCAATAACTGAAGGATAAACCAGAGTTTTTTACCTCGCCCACCCGGTTGATCTCATCAGAAAAGAATCCGAGGAAGTCATCACCAAAAAAACAGTAGAAAGAACCATAGAAATCCTAAAGGCTTCCTTGAATTCGAAGACGGTGAAAAGCGTGTTTGTTTACAAAAAACAGTGTTTACAAAACACATTTTTCTCATTGCCCAAAAATTTTTTTTCCTATAAAAGCGAGAGCTTGTTAAATCCGCTTTTTAACAAAAGTGAAGTTATTGAATCCGCTTTTAAAAAGTACCGTAGTTTGATAAATAAGTTCAAAAGTGTCGTATTTTGGTATTAAAGTTCCAAAATAACTGTGTTTTGATAATAGATTCCAACATAAACATTGTATCTGACGCTGTTTAAGAAGGATAAGCAGCCTTTACCCAAGAAATGCAAAAAAAAATGAATGAAGAACTAATGATCTAAGGAAGTATAGTTAGCAACAGCTTCATTCATTATAATCTGGCTTGTCTTTATGTTCATTTGCAACTAGCAATTTACTTTCGCCAAAAAGCCTGCTTTAAAGATTATTTCATAAGGAGAAAAAAACCTTGGCCCATTGATACCAGTTTGTTACAGCATAACCAACAACCAGTGTAAGAAGGTACCACTGACCTAATATGCATTAAACAGGCATTGGGGGATCAAAAACATCAATCAAACAATTGTAGCTTCTACAAAATATATAGATATAGAAATAATAAAAAGCAAAGTAGGAACATAGAATTCAATGGTAAAATTAAGAATCACAAGAACATTTACCTCCTGAGGAAGTCCATTCCAGCCACCTAATCCTGTTCCAGCAACATTAGACATAAGGTTTGAAGATGCCATCGGACTGGGGCTCCTGTGCCGCAGTCTATCAAGTTCACCAAAACCTTGGTTTGGCATCATTCCAGAAACCCGTAAAATCTCTGGACAAATAAAGCAGCATTTAACTATGATTAATCAACATCAACAGCCAACGATTAAAAAAAAAAACAACGAACAGCGGAAAGATGATATAGCTGGAACTATTTTGCAGAAAGATTATGAATCAAACATTCTGTATTTGACTATAATCAATATATGTATGAACATCACAAACTTAGCGGCCACTTGGAGCTAGTAAGGAAAATTTGTTGTATTCCATTGGTTTTGTTCAGACTCACCACAGTATCAGTTGGAGCTTAGATTATGGAGAAGTAAGGACACTAGAAGCCTAGAACATTAGTTAAACTCCAAACTATTCTGTGAATGTTTTGTCATAAAAACTAGAAAGTCAAACAAATTCCATGCCAGTTTTTATGTCACCAACAGCCTGAATGATAATATTTCAAAGTCATCGGAACCTAGGGGAAAACCTTTTTGAGCCCAATATGGTACTATTTTGCATTATTAAGTGCAATTTTTCATAACTCGATCAAAGAATCCAAGCTAACTCAATTGAAGATAAAAATTAAAATCTACCATGCATCTGAATCCACCCTTCCTAAGAATTGATATTTCTGCATTGCTAATTGACCAAGTATATGCATATAGAGGAAATGTAGGAGTGTTTATGGTTGGAAAAGCTTACCAAATCACAGGTTACACATGGTCAACCACAAACAGAACTATGTACTAGCAACAGTAGAATCTATAGGTATCCACTGATAAGATAATTAACCAGGTATGAAACAGTTCAAAAATATTGAGCATTTAGCAATGTGATGAAAACAGAATCAACCCACTGTCGTAGTATATAAATTGAGCAAAAATACATTTTGTTTTCTAAACAATTCATGGAGTCTACCGACCATCCTTCATACCACTAAATCTGAAATAAATCCCACTTGCATATTGAACAAAGTCCCTCATTAACTGAACCTTTGGTGATTGTGTAAATGATCCCATTGTGCTGAATTAAGAAAAAGGGGTTTCATCTGCCATTAAAAACACTCAATGCGTTGATTCCACATAAAAAGGCAATCGCAAAAAAAGTAACCCCCCCCAAAAAAAAAAAAAACTGCAATATACGAATAGGGCAATATAAAAGGGAAAACAAATTCACAGATGCATGATTGATTGAAGAATCAAAGCCGACAACAGGTGGTAGGAACTGTAAACCATGGTTGAAAGTAAAACCAAACTAGTCGGATCTAAGTTGTGTTTTTGATACACATGCAGACAAAGTCACATTGCAGGAATGCAGTTAAAATAACAAATTCAGAAATCCTAGATCCAAAACTCAAAGACGATTCACAGTGTTCCAAACTAACCTTGATTCAAGAGTCTGCTGCATATTGGAAGAACTTGCACGAAAGGTCCAAGCTTTTGATGCTCAGCCAAGAGCTCCGACAAGTACTGACCACTGCAAGTGCAAACCATGAGTGGAACGGAAACATAGATAAAAACCCCGGGCGCACAGATCAAACAAGAAAGACGATTCAAATAACCTAAGAGAGTAATTAAGATTAAAGAAGCAAGAAATCAAATTGAAGAAGTAGTATGAATAGAAAGGTGTAGTGTACCTGTCGATATCTGGGGTATTTCTAATCTGTGGAGAAACAGCTCTTGCAGGTGAAAAGTTGGGATTATACAGACCTGACATGACTTTTGCTATTTGACGACAGCAGCTTGTCGATGGAAATTGATACAGGGTTTAGCCGCAGAAGAAAAAGGAGAGAGAGACAACCAAAGCAGAAGGGTTTGTGTTGTGTTGTGCTGTGTTGTGTGTCAATAAAGAGCGAAGTTCGAAAGGACGGTGAAATTTTGCAGAAAGGAGCCCAATTTTTATTTTTTATTTTTTTTAAATCTCTTTATATATGCAATTTATATATTGATTTTCATTTACCCCAGACTGCGTTGCTCACTCGCCCCCTTGTATTGTACATGCACAGAAAACAGTGTAATGAAAATTTTGAGATTTGAAAAGTAGGCTGACTGACTGACTCTGTTGCTTTGTGTATGTTATGTGTAGGCGTGGCCTCTGTCAGAGGGGGTGAAAAATGGAGATCTTTTCATAAGCACACACTACGCGTATAGAATTAAAAATTAAAAAAAAAATATCAAGAGAAAATTACACCCAAATTTTTTAAAATTTATTATTTCATCGTTTAAATCCTTTAATATTTAAAATATTATACACAAAAGTCATGAGGTTGTCTGATAGTATATTACATCTAAACCTCTAAAATTTGAAGTGTGTAATATTTAAATTTCTCAATTTTAAAATATTATACATAAACCAAAAATATTCTAATTAAAGATAGAATATCAAATATTTTAAATTTTATAATCAAAATTTATATTTTATTATGTCATTTGTTAAATTAAAATTTAAAAAAAAATTCAAAAATCATAATTAGTATTATTGATGTCAAAATTTGGATGACCTTTACGTTAATTTGTTAGGCTTAATCACCTCAAAAAGAAGTTGTAGACCAGATAGAAGCTCTCGGGGTCAACTCTTCGATACGTAAGTCAATAATTTACTCAAATGTATTAACGGTAGGTGGAGCATCAATGGAGCTCTATTTATAGGAGATTTAGCAGTTTAAATTGTGCAGGGATAATAATTGAAAATCTTATTAATCATAAATAGATAAGGATTAAAACTTTATTTTTATATGCTGATTTGATATTATTGGTACAATAAATCTATATCTATATCTATATTACTTATAAATGTCAGCATCTATGAAAAAATTTTAATTTCTATTTAACCCCTAATTATTACCTTAAAGACAATTATGCCCACAAAATAATAGCTAGATAAACTTATTTTTAGCATCTATGAAAAAAATTTGATTTCCTATTTCACCCCTAATTATTACCTTAAAAGCAATTATGCCCACAAAATAATAACTAGATAAATTTATCTTTATTACTTCCAAATTTCTTGTTAGATAAACTTTATTACTAATATTTCAAAATTTTTGCTAAATAAACTCTATAACTATATATTAGGTAGATAAACTTTATCTCTATGACTTCCAAAATTTTTGCTAGATAAACTTTATCGCTATGGCTTGCTAGTACATTCTTCTTTTCTATTCAATTGGTAAACTCAACTAAAATTTTAATACCATGAGAAAAAATTTTGCTATTTTTTAGGTGATAAACACAACCATCGAAAATTCATTATTCATTGATATATAATAAAATATTAGAAGAGTAAAGAGTCAAAACCATATATTTTTATTTTTTTCATACATGTTAGACTTCTAAAATATTTTGAATTGCTTTATTAGAAGTGTATATAGATAGATAGACTCTTATCTCTTTTGTAACACTATTAACATATTTGGCCTTATATCGCTACAGTAAATTTTTTCTTCAAAATTCATTAAAATTAGTGGCCTTACATCTCTATCCCCTTGACGTTAAACATATTATGGTTGTGCAGATTAGTGGGTCGATGGTGCTTAGTGTCGTCTACCTGTAAGCTTTTTTTTTTTCTTTGTCAAAACATGCCTATTGCTGATATGGTATTTTTTTTACTTTATTTTCCATCTGTTTGGGTATTGTCATTGCATAAATGTTGTTGTCTACCTTGTAGCAATTTTTGGAATAGAAACTAAAATTAGTTTGTGTTCAATTGAATTGGTGTTTCCATCAAAGTGATAATGAACGTCCAAAAAAAAATACTTTCATGGAATGAAGAGCTTAATTTGTGTTGGAGATTAAACTAATCTCTTAATATTTAATTGTTTATTATTAGTAGGTTTGTAGTGTTTTAGGAGTTGTTATTATATTATGAGTAGAATTAGTTGCATTATTAGACTTCTTAAATTCATGTGGTGGTTGAATAGTTTTAGATTAGTAAATTATACTTAAGAATTTTCTTGGTCTTATGTTGTAATGCTAGAAAGTCATATTGGATTCAAGAAGCCATTAAACGCATATAACAATAGCCTTTTACTTTGTCATCTTCATACACTCCGTATTTCTAAAAAATATAATCTAAATTTTATGATCTAAATTTTTTCACGTGTATGTTACTAGTTTAGCTTATATGTGGTTAGGGTCGTTAGTCGAATGGGCCCGAGCCGAACTTAAAAAACTTGTTTCTTAATTGAGTCTAAAAAATTATTTAAATTCAGCTCATTTAATAAGAGTCAAGCCTGAAATAACCAAAAACAAGTTAAGTCTGAGTATTTGCACATAAACTAGTAGAACCTATCAAGTTTGAGTCGAGCTTGTAGGACTTGTTTTCTAAACGAACCTAAAAACTTGTTCAAATTTTTGCTCGTTTAGAAAATGAACTGAGTCTGAACGAGCTAAACTCAAGTAGCTCACTTTGATTAACAACCCTATATGTGGTATGCAGAATCTTATTCAAATTATAACTCTTGACACGATAGGTTAGACTTGGACTTTTTATCTTAGGTCAATTTTTTCGTCATTAAGTATAAAACATATAAAATAGGCCTAATCAACACATTTTTATATTCCATTATATCATCCATTGACATAAAAATAAAAAACAAATTCTAACTTTTTAAGAAAAAAATAATTATCAGTATAAATATATCAAATAACTCAATTAAACACTCATTTGCATACAACTATCGTGTCTATGGAAATGAAACTAAAAAATTAAATAAGGGGTCAAATTGTAATGGACACAATATCTTTTATTTTTAATTGGAACAATTTGGTTGTTTAATACATTTTGCTAGTTTCGTAACTAATAAGGGATATAAGTGTAATATTTTAAATTAGAAAGGTCTAAATGTTACACATTTATAAATTTCAGGAGATTTGTATGTAATTTACTAATAGATATACTATCGAACATTGATGGCAGGGTCCAAGAGTATCTCCAACCATGACTCAATTTTTTATTCAAATTTAAATTAACATTTGAGTAAAAAGTTTGACTTGATATAAAAGACTATAATGTACAAACTTAAATTTAAAGAAAGAGAAACCCAAATTTATATGATGGCAAACTCAAATTTAAAAGAGAATAAAGATGACCATTGAATTTTTAAACTATAGTGAAATTTCACCATTAAAGATTTGAGTAAGAATTTAAATAAAAAAAATGAGTCTCCATTCATTTGGTATAAATTTGAGTCAATAGTTATAGCAAATTTTTTGAGTTTTTTTTATTCAAATTTAAATTTAAGTCAGAGTTGGAGACATCCTAAGTGTTACTTGTGTGCAAAGTTTAGGGAATTTGTGTGTAATATTTTAACGTTAGGGAGTCTAAATAATTAAGTGACAAAATTTAGAAAATTTGAATATAATTTTGCCAAATATCAATGGCAAGTGTGGGCTCTCAGATATACATACCAAAAATGGGCATATTATTATTAGAGTCATGCTAATAACAATTAAATTATAAATTCTTAATAAATATTATTAGATTAATAAATTAGATCATTTTTTTAAATTTTACTCACGTTATTAACCATGGTGGCCGATGAGAAAAATTAACGAAATAGGAATATGGGATGTAACGATGATATCACATGACATTGATGATATAGTGTCATCAACTAATGAATATCAAGAGGACATAGTGGATTCCATTATTTTATTAACTACTAATAATTATTTGTGTCATTTTGAAATAGTAGAGTTCGCAAATTCTATTTATTATTTTATAATCAATTAATAACATCATATAATAATGATGACGTGATATCATAATTACACCCACTATATACTCGAGATGAGGAAAAGGAAAAGGAAGCCGGATTTACTTATTAGGAAATGCTAATGTTGACTTAAAATGTGCACTTAAAATGTAAATTTGATTAATCACAATCACTGAATAAGTCTTGAATCTTAATAAATATTAGGATCCACAACAAAATCAATAATAGTGATTCAATAAGTCTATATTTTAAAGAAAAATTTGGAGGTCGGTCCTCCTATATGTACTTATTTGAACTTAAGTCTGCCAAAGAAACTTATTTGTTATAAAATTCATTTTTTGTCAATTTTACAAGACTATCCATTCTCTTTAGAAGTGAAGTAAAACTAAAAACTCCTAAATTTTAGGAGTTTGATTAACAATAAATTTTTTTTCTCTCATATTTATCTATATCCATATATAGGTTAGGACTATATATATATAGTAACATTAAAAATAAAAAATAATAACATTTAAATACAAAAAAAATGTTATCATTTAAACACAAAAATAATATCATTTAAACACAACAAAAAATAGTAACTTTTAAAATTAATATTTTAAAAAATACACAATAGTAATAATTTCATTTAATATTAATATTTTAAAAAAAATAACAATAGTAGCGTGTTCGACAAAAATAGTAACTGATGATGCCTAAAGTAAATCTCAAGTGTTAGCTCAAGAGTCCAGCTCAAACCGGGAAGTCAGCCATATTAATTGAGGTCAGAAGACAAAGGTTGAATGTCTCTTGAGGCAAGGCAACGGTTGGATAACCACGAGAGGTTCCTAAAGCGTTAGAAAACTATAATCAAGGCACCTAATCTCAACTAACCAAGATTTTCTCCTAGAATTAAGGAGAACCCCATGAAATAAGGGCAAGAATCTCGACCAAGATCCCACTAAATAGGGAACAACCTTATAAATACTATGTAACGCCCCCAAGGAAGAAAGAGGACCAT